GTGAAGCAAAGTTGTTGGGCAGCACAAAAGTGCAATCTGATATTCCTGTGAGGGACAGTTAGTGCAGTGCAAAACACAACACAGCTGTGCTTCTTTGAGGTGTTCACCAAATGACCCAAAGAGTGACTTCAGCATAGGAGGGTTAATATGATGAGGCCTACTTAGTACTTGAGCCTTTTAGTCATGTTAGTTGAGGACTGAGAGTGAGGGGGATTGTATACTTGGGGACCCCCCCCCTGTTCAACATTATCTTGCAAAACTGGTAGGTCCTAAGTTCCCCCAAAACAAAGGCAACACTCTCTTTATTGTGCTGACCCTATTTTAGGGGGAATTTTAAATTGTGAACTGTGAGATGATGTGACTTTCTTGCTGATAAACTAACCATGCAAATTTGAATTCACCATGAATGCCATGTGTCAGGTGTTAAAACACAGTTTCCCTCGCCCTTTTTTGATGACATTAACCCAACAGTTATTGAGCATGATGTAACACACAGTCATCTCCCCAGGTGAATTGAAAAGTTAAAATGTAGCTCTCCCTTCTATTAATTAAAGGAACATGGTCCCCAAATTTACAATCCCCAGAGGCTGAGTGAAAGGTCGTTTACTTGGTCATGGAGGTTGAGATGCATTTGCGATTGCATTCATAGTACACCATGTACACTGTCGGACTGTAGTAGTACTAGTCATGCTAGGTATAGTACAATGTATGTGCTCACTTGCTTTATCAACATGATCCATTATGTCAATCACATTTATGCATCGGTTAAACATTACACTGACAATTCCTCACCATGCTAACAGTTTGCTGAAAGTGGAACAGGCCGCAGCGCGACTGACCATGGTGACATACATGACAAGTTGACACTGACACGAGTGACATTAGGATGGGCATACCTAGTGACCAAAATACTCAAGTTAACAGGGTTAAAGGACCAATCGGATTCAAAGCTGCAACAATTCGTTACCTGTGTTGTCATCTTTTTATCCACAGACGCTTCTGCTGAATACAGCCCTGCCTTTGCATTAAAAACCACAGTTTCTGAAGCGTATCGTTGTCATCTTCGAGCTGATTACTAGTGATAACATTAACGTTACTCAAGCGTCAAAATGGCGAGCGACGTGAGAAACGTATCCCACAATGCATTTCGGCTAGGCCAAATTAGCACACAGTTTTCACCTTATTCATAAAAAATGCAGAAATTGAACATTATATCTTTGTCATCCAATTTTTTTTTCAAAATATGTAACTCGACTCCATTAAGTAAGACATTCTGCGATGGACAGAAGTAGGTTAAATATTAATGAAAAATTTAGCATGAAACAGTCGTACAAAAGAGGTCTATCGCGTATAGTACCCAAACGACATTACTTACCATGTTGACGGCAGCACCGGCACAGAGAGCCCGCCTTTTTGTATGTCAACGTTATGCATCAAATACATGGATGCTTGAATATGAGTAACCGTAGTAGCTGAAATGGAGCGGGGAGGATGAGTCAACTTATGTCGAATTTTTTTCCCGGAGTATAACTCATCAAAATGTCAAAGATCTAAGTCAGCTACGATGTGGTACAGTAGAGGATGTCGAGGAGATGCACGTGCCTAAGTTGCAGCAAAGTTCATTGGAAGGAATTTGGAGATCGGAGCAGTCAGCTCAGTGAACATTTTTCAAGTTTTATTAGTGGGCCCATCGATATCATGGTCCCGGAAGTACGGTTAATCGTTTGAAATTAAGTATGCCTCCCAGAATCTAGCTGCGAATTGTGGAAAAGAAAAAAGCTGCTTGCCGACGTAGACGAGCAGTACATTTTTCTACATATCGGTTCTGCTCAATCATATCGTTTGAGAGTTGTGGGTGGCAACAACAGACAAAATGGTAAGTAGACATCATGGCAGACAGGGGAATAGCCCCACTAGTGTGGCCGATCCATCCTAATGGATCGGGAGTGAGAGTCCGTGCCACACTAGTGGGGCTAACGGGGGAATGCCTACATCTTGTGCATGATGTACATTTTACAATGTAACTGAGAGTTTAAAACTTAATCATTTTCACTTTCTAAAATTCGAACTGGTGTTGACATGGTTGAGAACTAATGATACTGAACTGGAATATTGATCAGTTCAAAGCAACCTCTCCCCCCAAAAATGAATGAGGCATGGAAACTGGAAAGAGTTCCATGTCCAGAGGGCATGAAGGGTGTCGGTCACTTCGTTCCATCCCCACTTCGCCCCATCCCCACTTCGCCCCATCCCCACTTCGCCCCATCCCCACTTCGCCCCATTGATTATCGTTCAAAACAATGCTTCCAATTTCCCAACCGCCGGACCCAAATTTTTCGGCAAGACCCTAATATTTTTATTGGCATGTTAGAAAACAATAGTTTTCTTCGTGTTTCGTTGTCGCTGTGGTAAAACAAGTGAGCAAAGCGCTGGTTCCCACCGTGCCACACCCGTGTAACAGAATGTGTGATGGAGAGTGGCAACCAGTCTATTCATGCCGCGGCGACCGTACATGTACTTGATGAGAAATAACCCTGATGCTAAGCCAACCATATGTATTAATTCACCACAATGGACAATGCAGTCGACATTAATTTAATGCCGTAGAGTTTTCTGTAATAACTACATGTACATGTCGTTTTGTGGAACTCCCTTCTCGACCATTTTTTGAAGAGGCTACACTACAGGCTACACACTCGAGCACGGACGGCAAAGTGGAAATGGAGCGAAGTGGGGATGGGGCGAAGTGAGGATGGGGCGAAGTGGTTAGGGGGCAACAAGGAAATGGGGTGAAATGACTGTAACCCTGTCCAGACATCACGTGACACCCAGTGCACAAACCCAGAGGAGACTGGTCTTAAAATGTGAAGTGTTTTCTGAGTAAATGCTTTAATATTCCCACTACTAAATTGACATTTTTTTAAATTTTAGGACATGTTATCAATTTCTGATGGCTAATAAACTGCTGCAAGGGAAAATTAATGATGTGCGTTAATGGACCTCTTACCAAATTCTGTTTTCCAAGTTAAGCTTAATGCTCCAAAATTTTCCCTGCTTAATTTGACTTTTTAGGACATACATGTAAGCTTACTGTCCCATTCTGGTTGCTAATAAGAGAAAATTAGTGATGTCCATGAGAAGAGTTCGATGTACGGATGGTGCTTGACATCCTGCGTCCAAATCCTTTGAGACTGGTCTGAAAAATTGTGTTTTCTTATTGAATACATATTTCATTGCATTTAGATGGCTAATATTATCACTCCAGGGAAAAATGAGTGGCGTGCATATATAGAAGTCTTTCCGTAATGTAGTGAAGAATGATTTATGACATCAGGGTGATGGGATAGAGGTTAAGCGTTGCTGGCGTCTCCATGGTGTCGCAGAGGCTGCTGTTGTTATTTTGCTTTATGCTCAAGCCGATCCCAGGAATACAAAGCTCTTGCCCTCTGAGAACATGTTAACTGTAACCTCGTTAGCGTCCCATGACTGCTGATAAGCCTAATATGGTCAGGATTCCTATAATGATGGCATTGCCAGAGGTCAAGAGGACTGTTGATACATTTAGCAAATGATTGTGGAAACAGTTGCAAAGATGACAACGTTCCGTTTGGTAATGAACACCCGAAAGCAGCAGTAACGATACGGGTGCATGAAATGAAAAGGTAGAACAAATATTATTAACATTAGATTTGTATTTCGCTAATGAAGTGAATTATCATGACATTGACATTTGTGAACCACTCTGCAAAAAGGTGTATTAAGTCTTGCCATGCAAAAAGGCGTAATGGTCCATTCCATGTGCTGAGGGTGAAAATATTTGGAAATGTTTTTAGGCCAAATGCTTGACCAGAAAGCCCCCGTTGCTAAGGAAAACCAAGAGAATATCTAATTTAAGTTTTCTGTTCGTAGTGTTTAAAGGGCATTATCTCAAAAAGATAAATGAAATTATATGAATATGCAAATGGAAATATCTCCAAAATACAAAATGCCACTGGGATGAATTACTTGCATATCAAATGAAGCTTAGGATGTGAGCAATGGGATTACATGTATATATAAAGGCCTAACTCCAGTTCAAAAAAATGTGACATATTACACCTTTTAGTAGAGCTGGTCGCATTTATGGTATTAAATGTCATCAGATTGTTACTAACAATAATATTCATGCTCATAGTTTCATATTTTCCTGATGAACTAAATTCTTCGTACAAAAAGGCTGAGGAAGTAAGACCAAGAAACTCTCATTCAGAAAATTTCAATATTAATTGCCAAGCATGCACATTTTGTGATGACAAAATTAGACAAATGCATGTAATCACATGTCTTATGGGACCAAGCATTCCAGGTGGATACTGATCGGGAAAGTACAGTGCTGGGGAAGAATTAATCTGAAAAAAGAAAGAAAACACAGTGACTGAAAACAATGAATTAGTGAATGAACGTGTGTGAAAACAAGCCTCAAAAATTACCAAAAACACCTGACCTCGGCAGTGGTCCTAGCCTTGATACACCCTTCCCCACCTTTCTGAATTTCATGGCCACATGTACATGTATGTTGGCTGTAATGGCAGGCCAGTCTGTTTACGCCTATTGTGTGTAAAGACAAGAATGGCCTTGTCCCATTGTGTCTCGAAGGATCAACATTCAAAGCTCAGAAGGAAAATGCTTGAGCCTTTTTCATCAGCGCACCAGTATTCATGAGTATTGATATCTGTGCAATTCTTCAATTTGGCTGGATTATAAAGATCGTAGACCTTTCAATGGAGTGTGTTTACACTGATCTGGTAGCACACTAGGCAAAAAAGAATAACAGAATATACCGGTACCCGGTGGGTACACGTACATGCAGCCGTGACTTGTTGCACATTTTGTCATGTTAGGTGGTGGATATTGTGGACATGAAGTTGGACAATACATGTACTTCTTTTCCTTTTGTTATGCTAATGTGCTGAATTATCAATGATCTAGGTCATCCGTTTTTGTCAGGAGATTTGTTTTTCTGTGTTCATATTCCACCAGTCTAATGTTGTCTTATTTCCATCTGACTGGTTCCGATCTCGTACATAGTCTCCAAATGTACCTGTTGGGACCGGTAGCAGGTAATGAATCTGGCAGAATCCTGCTGGGTGTATATACATGTAATGAGGAAACAGTGCCCGCTCAAGACACAAATCAAGCAGGAGCTGATAGAATATTTTGCTTTTCCTTCTTCGTTACTGAAAATAACTTCACAATAAATTGTGCATTTATCTAAAATTTAACACAATAACAACTGGTTTGAAATCCATGTAAATTGCCCTAAAATGATTTATTGATGATGCTCGCTGAAAAATAAATTACCTCACTGTGATCAACAGAGGCTTAGCAAGGATAGGTACTTGTGTTTTATTCGCCTCCGCGCTGAAAGGTATTTCATGTAAAAGCATTGCTAGTGGCCTGACAAAACTGACAGCATCCAAATTGACAGGGCTAATCGGGGACCTGTCCAATTTCCTTGACATGAAGTTGCTAGAGATTAATGTTGTAAGCCACAAATTTGAACCCTGGCTCCAGTTAGACAAATCGTGTTCTGTGGTTGATCTTGTCATTGTTTATCTACCGGTACATACCCCAGTGTTCTATTTCTGAACCATGTTCCCCAGTGTTCTATGTCTGACCTACAAATGGCATTACACAATGTTGGCCCTTGCTGAAATGTCAAACCACAACTTGTGGTGAGACACTGGTTATGCCAATTTGCCAAATAAGTCTAGTCACCAGGAAAAATGAAGCTGATCCACATCCTAAATGTGCCTAAAAAGAAGACTTTGAAATGGATCCTTTGTAAAATTACTGTAACTTGCAAGGGATCATTATAGAGCCTGAAAGTTGACCCCGATGGTGCACTTCTGGAACCCTTGGATAGGAAAAATAACGTGTACAGATTTTAGAATTTGTAATATTTTTTGTTCAGTTACCGTACTTCTTAAAAAAATCCAACTCAGAAAAGGGGACTTTGGAAAATATTTGCTCGTACGTGTATATCAATTTGTACAAACTGAAAAATCACCTGACCTAAAAGAGAAATATCCTGCCAAAAATTGACCCATCACTTCCGAAAATCTTAAATGAAAAAAAGTGCAACGAGGCAGTTGCGTACACAGATGAACATCTACGGTTTGAAATTTTACGGCAGTCTGCTGGTAAAAACTGAAATAAAAACAGATCAAAATATTTTACAACGATAAACTTACTTTAAGGCAATCTTCTACTGCTATTACGAACGATCCTAATATTTTATCTAACCTTTGCTGGGAACAACTGCGTGATGTCAACTCAACGGAATCTGGAACCCATCTACTGCAGACCTGTAGGTAAATCTTTGCAACATTGTAATCTCATTCTCACGTAAGCACGGGTAGTGAAAACAAATGTGCATGAACATGGAGACGTGCGTGTACAATGGGTACGATATTGTCAGACGTGAAAGGTCATTAAGAAAATTCATTTTTTTCCCATCTCCATGGGAATATCAATTCAATTTCAATTTTGATAGTGGTTCTCCAATATTGGTATTTATTTTAAAAATCAGTGTAAAAAGTCCAAAGACTAATAAATAAGCAGTTACACTGCAATAATTGAATATAAAATTGTATGGAAAGTAAAAAAACAGATATCAGGGTTCGCAGAATCGGTAGTCTGACATCCTGGGACAACCAAAACATTTTGTCGGACAACCAAATGTTCCAGGCTGCCAGCCTAACGGGCAAGCACCTGTTTTCGACAACTCATTTGCTGCATTGCATTTTAATCCTGGCATTTTAAACATTTCAGCACCGTGTATGGAAAAAAAGATCACAAAACCACATAAAAAGATTGGCATTCCAACCTTAATATTGTACAACTACATGTTGGGGTAGGTGCACATGGTATGTCCAGTTGAAACATGCTGTGTGATACATCCGGTCGAATCGTTGGCATGAACAACTCAGCGCCCGCAGCCGCGTCTATATTCAGTCTTTTTCCTTGTTCCGGATTGCAAAAATTATATTCAGTCGTATTACAGCTCAACTATCTTCAAATTCCAATGGAATGGGGTCAGAGGTCTACCTTGTACATGTATGCAGGAGTTACTTCAAAAATGTTTTCAAAGCTTTTAGTTTTGTCTTAAAGGATTGACATAAGCGATGATGACACGTTTCCTAGTTCTGGATCATGGATTGGTTTAGCCAGTTCCAGATCGCTTCTAAAATTTCTTGACACATTAAAAGTATAGTCAAGCGTAAACCCATTTCTCAGCCAAAAGTTGTAACAAGCATATTTTCTAGTGAAGCACGTCTTATTTCAAAGGGAATTTTAGTTTATCTATTAGAATTTCAGTTCATTAAAATGGATAGCCTGCATAAATTTTGACTTGACTTTGCTGCTCAGCGAGCCATCGACCATAAATCCCCGCCACTGCAAAGTTGACAAACCGATTACGTCTCGTACAAAATTTATAATGCACGTGTAGTTGAGCTGACGACATTCATACATGTGTGTACTTGCATTCGCGATCCAAAACTAGGAAAAATGTTTATGGAATCTTGCACAGTGAGTGACCTACCGTACCTACATGTACCTGTAATTTTTTCAGGTGTTGATTTTTGTGTACTCCTGTGTTTTTTGACAAATTGTCAACAAACATCTAAGTGCGAATCGGAAATTTGACCAGAATTCCTTTTCTTGAAATGTTCTGGGAACAAAATTTGTACTGCAAGACTTATATTTTACCTTTCAAAAAGAAGTCATCTTAGCGTGTAATGCTGCAGAGCAATAGCAAATAGGTGGGTATTTATTTCAAGCGATCTGGAACTAGGAAAACAACTGTAATTACTAAAAGCCTGGAGACCATTTGCAAAAACTTCTTCGTCGGGCAACTGAAAATGAAATTCAGGAAACCAGATTTTAGACTCCCTTGCCCGAAGGGCAACTACATTTTTTAGAATTTTGCGAGCCCTAGATATTGGTTAAATTTAAGAATAACCCATTGAACCGTGGCTGTCAGGCAATGAGAAAGCACTTTGCCATTGCAACAGGTGCTCTGGCAACACTTCCTGGGGATTTCTGCTCCGGCAATTCTTATCTAAAGGGTTTGCAACAGGAAGGAAGCAAAGCCAACGCCAAAATGGTAGGGATGAAGATCGCTGCAGGCATGGTGCAAAGCAGGGACATTCATTCATGGCGACTGGAACTTTAAAGGGACACCTTGTTTCGTGGAGTGTTTTACTGAGGGGCGTTCACGTTGTATAAACAGTGTGAAACTTTGGTAGCCTGTACGGGAGCAGGACCATCAGTATTTTTTGCCTTTGCAAATGTCCACCAATATTCCTGTTTTCCAAATTTCCCAACTCACAGACTTGGTGGCCTCAAATTTGCAATTCCTTTTCCAAACTCCAACAACCAAAAGTAAAGCAATTTTTAAAAATGCAGTCTCGTGCAAACTGTGCCTTTTTCCTTTACAATTCAGATACATGTACTTTGTTGTCATGGAAACCAGCCTCCTCTTGCCTTTAGGGTCTAGTGAAGCTGACATTAAGTTTTTTTCTTGCATTTAGACTTTCCTCATACAATTCTTTCTCCATTAATATTTTATTACATGCACAGGTACTGTATCTTTTTAGCGTAGCCCAATGATCCCTTACTTGTAAATAGAAGTAAACACCAGAATTAAATCTATACTTAGTCTGTGGTTTTGGTTTCTACAGAAAGGACACTGTTCTTTCTAAGTTTTCTGTGGGGTACATATTCCATAAAACTTGGAAAAAACTCAGCTACTTTAGAATACATGTACACCTTCTTTTGGTGTCTTTTTCTCAGTTTTTAAAAATTCCTTTTTCTTAATCTGAACTCAAGTGACTTATCAGATCCTTAATTCACGTGAACTGTTTTGAAAGCTATTTTTGGAATGTCAAGTAACCATGGCCATCGGCAACAGTGCATTGAGCTCTGTTTTCTTTGTTCTGTGCATGGTTAGTCATGAAATTAAAAAAAACTTGAACTAAAGCCTGTATCCTATTGTATAGAAACTCTTGTCATGCATGAACAAAACTTTGGCATGTGTGCGCGCAATGTACAGTGTACATACATGTACATGTACAAATGGCAGAGGCTGAACATACATCTAAATTATCAAACCATCAAACTAGGTGCAAAAGAAGGGGCAGAGACAGTTAACATGTTTTCTGAGAATGCATCTATCACTGTGACACTGCCAAAATACATACATTTTTGGGGGTGATGGTAGCGTGGGGTTTTTTTGGTTTCAGGTTCGAGTACCGGTAACTACTTGTACATGTAAAAGGAAGTCGGAAATTTATAAACAACCAAGCTTGGTTCCAATCTAAAGGAGCTTCTTAAGTACGGATTATTGTTTTTCCATGAAAAGGCGATCAGTTAAGATGTACGGTTTGTAAATTGCTTGCCTATCTGCTTGTAAACTTCTTCATTGGTCACCAGCTTGGAATGGACCGAATTTTACGAAGGCGTTCAGTTGAAATTATCACCGATGAAAACTTTCTTGAATAAGCACAAAATGGCCAGAAACCTGTCAAAAAGTCAATTTTGTGATTTCTATGCTTGTAACCAACGTAACCTTTTTGGGGATTAGCACACTTTTATCTGTAAATGAGCATCAGGTTTTTTTATAATGCAGTTAGTTTATTAATTATGCATTTTACAGCATAGACATGCAATCGGCCTCTTTCGATTTCAGAGGAAACTACATTTAATGGTACTTGTACCTACAGTGTTTGTTTATTTTAATTTTACTGTTAGGAAACAAAACTACAGGTAATACATGTAACTGGCTGTAGTCTGAGATAAACAAAATTACAAGGATTTCAAAACAGGAATTGATTTTTTTGTGTAGGCCAGGGAGGTTTTGGAATGGGAGTTGATCCAGTACTATGTATTAAATTCATCAATACACACCATTCAATATCCAATTGTTTGAGTGGCCTCTCCAGCCACCTGTGTGTAAGCATGAAATATTTTGACAGCTTAACACCTACATGTACATGTACAATATTGCTCCAACAACAAATCAATAAATCTGGAAAACTTCCATACATGGACATGTTGAATACCAGTAGGTCCGACTCATCCGAGGAAAGTTCAGTATTTTTTAAAGGTTTCAGAATGCAATTAGTATGACTGTTAGGAATCGTTGATGCATTTACTGTATTCCATTATGGATGTAAGTGGGTTTTTCTTTTCCTTGTTTTGAGAACTGATATTCAGTTCCTCGTTTGGTCTGTCTTGTTTCTTGGCTGGTTTCCATCGTTAAGTTCACTTTTCTTGGAATCCTTGGCATAGGTACAAACAAAAAGACAAACAATTTAAGGAAACAATGTTCTCGGGGAAGGTGTGTTTGTGCTAGCCTCTGTGATGTTCATTAAGTTTGAATACAAACTGTACATGTTCATGTAGAAAGAAACCATTTACTAATCCATTTTGGAAGCTGCTATGATGTGTCATGTTTCCCGTTGCTGTTTGCCAAATCAAACATGACAAAGACCTTGTTTGGTTTTCCTACAGTGACAAATTTCCATGCCAGACAATAATTGTTGAATAAAGTCATTTCATTTCCTCGTCTGAGTATTGCATGGGTGTGCATGAACACCCACAGATGTAAGGAAACAAGCACCCTGCTGTTCCAGAGTGGAAATTTCCTTGATGTGTATCCTGACAGTCACTGTGTGCGATCCTGTGTCCGCCTGGGCAGTAGTGAAAGGGCATGCCTGCACATTTACATGTACAAACATGTACAGTATGTGTACACCACATGTACATTGTACATGTGTGTGGGCATTCTCAATTTTTTATGTGCTGGCCATTTTTTTTTAACAAAGCTGAGATTTTTACTTCCTGGTAAAATTGGCTTGGACTGCATTCTGGTACATTTTCCACATGACCCGAGCTGTTTGCTGACTTAACTAGACTTGTTTTTTTTTTACAAAAAGGGGAAAAAACCTTGTACGTCACCCTTACAATATACATATTCAATAAACTCGCCAACATACGGAAATAAACTACGTGACAATTTATACAAATACACGTAAACTGTACAAAGGCAGTTTGTTCATAAAGTACACCTCATGCACCTTCCAATATGCATGTACATACACTGTACCAAAGATGCTGTGCATATTTTGTCCCGTTCAAAGTCCTCTAAAATGTACAAATTGATTTGGTGAAGTGATGCTCTTGAATTACATGTGTGTGCATGTATCTTCCTTTACATATCTTATTGTGAATTTCTGCAAGAGTGTTTCGGACTTTAATACATTACATATTTTTTCACGGTGGTCAATATTTGCATATATACATGGAATTATGAGTTACATCATGTGTAGTGATTAGTATTGTACCATGATTTTGTCTTAAATGCTTCAATATACATGTTACAGCTGCATGAGCACAAAAAGTTCCAAATTACGTAGTCATTGCCGCCTTTGTTTTGAACTGCTCATTTGGAATGCAAAGTAGAGTATAGTCAAATAGTACAGATATAATGTATGAAAATTAAAAATTGTTTCCAATGTACATATACATGTACCCGTACCTCTAAGATGCCTTGAAATTAGACAGTGGACAAAAAAATGGTGGTCCCGACATGCACAAGTAAGTGAGCCCTTAACCCTGTGTCAGGCCCCCCTGCTCACAAATATTGGTGTTTGTCACCATCAAGATTGGAATTTCTAACTTGGAGAACACTGAGTTAACATAGATGGACTTTTTTTCTCCCAATTTCAGGCTTACCATTGGCAGAGCCACACCAAGAAACAGAGCGGTGTAGAAGACATGGTCCTGCTGACCAAGATTCAGGAATCGTCCATCGTTGAGAATCTCAAGAAACGCTTCATGGACGATTGGATTTACGTATCCTTTCACCCCCCATAAAAACATGGGTCACCTTTTCTTTTTTTTCCTTTACCTTCCCAAATTCTCCATAACCTTTTTTTGCATAGTTTGGAAGATTTTGAAGGATTTAGGCAGTGGTCCTGGTTCCAAGGAACTCATTCACAAAATAATGGTGGTTTTTGGAGGACAGAGGCTGTGTGGAATTTTTCCATGGGAGCAACTAAGGTTGCTTTTTTGCAAAAATGTCCGGGCAGTTGATTTTAATTTTCTGTCTTGGTCTACATGTACATGTATAATTTAACAGCTATTCTATGCCCATCAGTAAGTGTTAGGCTAAAAAAAAATGCACGCTAATTTGATAAATTCCAGTTATAGGAACATGTACATTAGGTACACAGTTAAAACGCAGATGTTTTTTTCTTGCAACTTTTGCGTTGTCCAATGGTCTGTTGCATGCCTTAAATTATAGTTTTAAAATGATTGTCCATGTACAAGTACATGTATATCTGCACCTGGTCAGTTTCCGTCTATGGTTTGTCTGTTGATTTCTGCAGCTCTTTCACAAGTGACAGGTTTAATTCATTCTGTTTAGTCAGTGAGTTTTCCAGTAGAAATGTGACCTGCTCCTATGAAATGAGTCTTAGTTCAAGTTCATTTTTCCAGTGATTCTGCTCAGAAAGAGGGAACTGAGCTCCTCGTTTCGATATGTCACTGAGCCTGACACACTTATTAAAGTGGGTACTTTGTGGGGAGGGGGGGACAAATGTCGATGTCGATCCCATTGATTGTTATTGTGCAGGTTTTTTTCTCAAGGCCTTTAACTCAAAAAGTGGCTCTGGTGACTTGCAACTCATTTTGTGAGCCTTGGTCACACAGGAACGTGTGGTGACATGTGGTTGTAATGGCCAATTGTATGAATTAAAAAACAAGTGCAAGGTTTCGGGGCAAAAAAAATGCTGATACATGTAGATTGGCGTACCTTACCGTAAATGCGCCCTTTTTTGTATTTCAAATTATACAGTCTATTTGCAAACAGCATGGACCTTCCCTTAACCAAAGAATTTTTCCAGACTTACATTGGCCCTGTGTTAATATCCGTAAACCCTTTCAAGCAGATGCCTTACTTTACAGACAAGGAACTGGATATGTACCAAGGGGCGGTAAGAAATAAGTGGAAAACTACACACACATTAGTTTTTATGTGAAAAAAAAGCAAAACAAGAGACTTTTTGTTTCTCACAGAAAAATGTTTGATGCATGCTTTGCACTTACATTTCTCACATTTCTATTTTGGGAGCTTTGAATCGGGCGAAGGCTTGTTAGTAAGCAAAACAAAATCTTAATAATGGATTCATAAATGAAATCATAACTTCCTCATGGAATGTTTCAGCGTGTTCTTTAGAAAACAAAGTAGACATCGAAAGGAAAAGTGGAAAATTCATTACGTGAATGAGTTGAGTCTCTCAAGACTTGGTGATGGCTCAGATTTTGCATGATACATTTACCGTATGTACTTTAAAGAAGTAGCACCACTATCTGACTATGGTATTATGAAACCTCCATTCAGTCTGGTGGCTGTTACATTGGTTTCCTGTCATTAGGCTCAATTTACTCACTGGCGGAACTGAGTACTTCAATATCAAAAGGGTGAAAGTACACAAAGGTTGTGTGCAAAAAACCATGGGAGTTTCCAGAACTCCAACCGTGACTTCTTTATTTTTCCAGAAATGCACATAACCTTGTGTTGATTTTCATAACTCTTGACGTAAGCACGGAATGAAACCAGTGCAGTGTCTATGTACTTGTAGAATGCCATTAAATGCACCCAAAGTATCTCTACATACTGTTTGTTTTCCTTTTGGTCCAGGCGTCCTATGAGAACCCTCCACATATTTACGCTCTGACAGATAACATGTACCGGAACATGTTGATAGAGTATGAAAACCAGTGCGTAATTATAAGGTGAGCATTGTGGTCATCTTTCACACTCATGAACAAAAGCAGGGATGTAAAATTAGGATTTTGTCAGGAACTCAAGTGATATTGATAATTGATAATTCATATGCATATTCATGTAACCTTTGACCTGATTTACATTTTCTACCAACAGACCAAAGAGGTAGCAAGCTACATGTATGTGAAGCATAACAGTGTCAAGCATACCTGAAAACAGTTGCCATGAATTTCCTATCTGATCCATTGAATGACACATAAAACCCGCAGCATAGTTATGTACATGGGACACAGCAAGAGCTATCAACAAAATCCTGTAACAAGCTATTAGGTTCATAATGTGTCCAGAAAACCCCTTTATCTGTAAAGTGCATGCCTACATTGGCATCTATGTGATACCACTCCTATGTGTTTGAAAACATCTTTGATAAAAGAGCACCTCGAAAAGATGATTGATCATTGAAAAGGTGTCACGTTGTGTTGATATTTATTCGGAGATGCAAGATGGTATGTTTCTGTGTGAAATTTTTAACGGTCACTCGAAAATGGAATTTTACATGTAAAAATTTTTGTCTGTCCACAGCGGAGAAAGTGGTGCTGGGAAGACCGTAGCGGCCAAGTACATCATGGGCTACATCGCTAAGGTGTCGGGAGGTGGGGCCAAGGTGCAGCACGTCAAGGATATCATCATCCAGTCTAATCCTCTTCTTGAGGCCTTCGGGAACGCCAAGACTGTCCGCAATAACAATTCCAGTCGTTTTGTGAGTTAATTTTTGGGGGGAGTGGGAGACAATTTAAAAAAGACTTGCGTAGCATTTTTAGTCACTGACATCAAAAATGTCCTTATTTTATTCCCCCCTGGTTTTGTCCAACCCTAGTTTTGCTGACATAACTTACTTTATTCACACCCTGTGCCCACAGGGAAAGTATGTGGAGATTCAGTTCAGCAGAGGGGGTGAGCCCGATGGCGGGAAGATCTCTAATTTCTTGTTGGAGAAGTCACGCGTCATCACCCAGAAACAGAGCGAGCGGAATTTTCACATCTTTTATCAACTGCTCAAGGGAGCAGATGCAGAAATGAAAGGTGAATAATGTTTTGCCCATACTTTTAAATTTATTTTCAACCTTGCAGTTGCCATAGCAACCAGAAGTGGCCTCATGAAATTCCCCAAGTGATCCCAAATTTCTAGTATTCCTTTTCCCAAAGGGAAAAAAACTTGAAAAGTACAATTTCCACATTAGTCATGTTCTGTGAAATTGGAGCTAAGTGTAGATTTGCTGTTTTTATGAATTTTTTTTAAAGGAAAAGAGGATTATACAACCAGTGGTAGCTTTTCTGCATTGCACGTTGGTAACGTTAAATTCAAGAATAACGTTCAATCTTATTTTTCTCCTTTAGAGAGTTTTGGCCTGACCAACCCAGACTACTATTACTACCTGAACCAAAGTGGAACATTCCAAGTTGAGGGCACAAATGATGCCAAAGAGTTCAATGACACCACGGTGAGCCAGCCCAAGTTTGAATTTTGAGGTCTATTTATCAACCCAACTCCTCTTTGTTGTCACGTTATTAGTATGTTGTATGCGTTCCGAGTGACTCAACAGTGACCTGTAACTTAATGGGTTTTTCCATGTAACTGTGACATATGTTTGGCTTTTTGATGTCATTTCAGGATCACCAACTGCATAATAATTGTGATTCTACAAGAAAAACAAAAAACTAATCTTTCCCAGAATGTGATTGCTCCATTCCTCTGAGTATTTGAAAGTGTTTCCTTGAATCTTCGTCTCCATTCTAACCGTGAACTTTCTCTAAACCTTGCGTGGAGTTTGTGAAGTCTACACAAGATCTTCATACCCTCCACCCCTCCCCCCGCAATGTGAATCTTTGTCTTGCATAGGTCCTATCCCAATAATATGGTAAAAAAAAAAATTTTCCATGAATCTCTTCCCAGAGTGCAATGGAAGTCATCGGAATTTCGGAAGATGACCAGTTCAACGTTCTTAATTGTGTGGCTGCCATCCTTCATCTCGGCAACATCCAGTTCAGCGAGCACGGCAACTATGCAGTAGTGGCACAAGAAGACTGTGAGTGTATGGGGATAAAATTGAAATGGAAACAATGTTGAGGAAAAATAGTTCATATTTAAAGTTGAGACTGTGCTCAAAACAAAACAGTCAAGTCACAAAAGTGCACCCCCAAGAGTCTGCAATGCGTTACCCAATCACAATGCGCGGAATTTGTCGACCCTTTCCGAATGTGCGGCAAGTCGGCAGATTTCGCGCATTGTGATTGGCCAACACGTCGCAAACTCTTGGGGGGGGGCACTATTGCGAATTGCCTGTATTGGCTGTGACCATGAATAATACACGGGACGTGCCTATGTAAGCCACCAAATAGTGGCCACATCCATTTACCCCACACGGGAATGGTATCACAAGTCACATCTAGATAATTCTGACGTAGCCCATTGTGTTTGTACAAGTTAGACCTTGTGACGTTTGTTTTACAGACTTGGAGGTTCTAGTCACGGGACCTTTACTTTCTTCATGCATTGCTACATCACACAAGTCCTTTTCTTTCCAAATGGTTTGACTTATTGCAACATACGCACTGGTAGCTTTATCAAAGCAATTGACAGGTTTCATTTCAAATTTTGTTTCATGCTTTAAGATGGCGGCATTGATGGTAAGTGCTAGTTGACAGGATTCTCTGCAGTATTCCAAATTTACTGTACCCTTTTGTCAAATGTTTTTAACTCTTCCTTTTTTTTTAAAGCACTGGTTCTCATTCCTTTTTGTCTCGGTGTCCCATTCAGTGAGTGGTCTTTCAGTGCATCGATCTATTGAACTTTTCTCCACAAGTATTTTTAGTAGTGATGTAGAATGGTTTTTAGAATTATTGCTCGTTCACAAAGTGTGCACAGTGTCCATGCACATTCTTCAGTAGTAAATTACCCACAATGCCTTGTGTTTCCATCACAATATTTTATGAAAGAGATTGTGCCACTACTGTCACCCTGGGATAGTTGGGTACAATACGAGGTTGAATGCACTGAACTATTACATGCATGATCTGTCCATCCATTACTTATTGTTTTTAGTATGTCGTGGAATTGGTTACTATTGGCATGTGTGTGATTGGTTGCTTAAGAAAAAATAACTGATGGTCAACGTATGCTGTATGCATTTAGGCTTGAGGGTTGAGAATAATTATTTTCACTTTGGCAGAGCCTTCACATCCACAACGTTCACATCTTGCTAATTGAATCTAAATGCTGTTTTGGTGGTCAAGGGTCATTCCAGAAGTCAGGGGTCCAAAAGTGTGACATTTTTGTGTCCCTGTTACATCTGACCTTTGCTATTTGGCATTGATATATCATCAGAATTGATTTCAAACTATTAATATTGTGTGGTAGGTAATCTGCATTAATTCATCACTCTTAGAAAGTTAGAAAATGTGTTCTGAACTTACCAAATCATACGTCAGATATGACAGGGTCATGAAAAAAAAAAGTGGACCCCTAATTTCTGGAATTACCCTCATGTCAGTGCATTACTGCTGTCCTGCTGTTGTGACCTTTGACCTTGGTGAAAAACCCTCTCTGTCCCAACCTACAGGCAGAAAGGTTTGCCACAGTGGGGAATTTCAGCTCTATCTGTAATTGTTAATCTAATCATTAAAGTTCACTTTCCAATGACTTAAGGGGAACACTCAGATGACGTTGTGATTTAGGTAACACTGGGAGGGTGAGAGTAAATAAGTGGTATTGTTTCAAAAACTGAATTGGTTCTTCCCCAAGTCCTGGATTTTCCCGCCTACCTCTTCGGGGTGGACAAGGAGCTTCTGCGGTCTAAATTGATTAGCCGACAGATGGACAGTAAGTGGGGAGGTCAGACCGAGTCCATCAAAGTCACGCTGAACACGGAGCAGGCCGCTTACACCCGGGACGCCTTGGCCAAAGCTGTCCACGCCAGGGTCTTTGACTATCTCGTAGAGGTAGGGGAATTTTGTCACCTGTTACCGGTTTCTGTCATTGAGTATATCACAACTGTTTCTCAAGTATTTTTCATTGCTTTAATACCAGATGTACTTTCACTGCTAACCAGTGAGTTAAGTAGCAAAGGAATATCTTTGTGAAAGTGTAAGAGGTTGTGGGTTTTTTTTGTGGGGAAGGGGAGTCTGACTGTTCTTGTGAAACAGTCATGAGTATTTCCAAAGTATCCAAATACAGCACTGCCTAGTTGCCTTCCATGCTGAACCCAAAATGGGGATGTTACAGCTGGAGTTCACACTGCAGAATTGCAAAAAGCTAAGCATGTTTCAACTTTGCAACAAGTGGTATAAACCAGTCTGAACGTCTGTCTGAGTTAGTTGGGTCACCGGGTTGGGCCCACCATCGTAAAGCTGTAACGCAGGAAATGTTACTTGGCAAAATTGTATATGTGCCAAGCAGCATAAAGGTGAAGACTAATCGTGATTGTCATGCATCACATGACTGTTTGGTCGGTTTCCTGTCACTAGTAAGCAGTTATTTTTTTACTGGTTATACCCGTCCACTGCATGACATACTTCCTAACTCATGGAGTAATTGAGTATGAAAAATCTGCTAAGCGAAGAATATACAGCAGAAAAGATGCTGCCAGTCTTTTGGGGTTCAGCGATAACCTGCTCGCCCAAAGAAATTGCCAAGTTGTAGTTTCATGTTTAGCAGTTTCAAGAAACTAGGCCTTATTTCCTGCTTAAATTTTCTTTTCTTTTTTCGACGTTGTCTCAGTCCATCAACCATGCCATGCAGAAGGACCGGGAGGAGATCAACATCGGCGTCCTGGACATTTATGGCTTCGAGATCTTCCAGGAGAATGGCTTTGAGCAGTTCTGTATCAACTTTGTCAATGAGAAGCTGCAGCAGATCTTCATCGAGCTGACCCTCAAAGCCGAGCAGGTCAGGCACCAAGAAGTGGTTTACCAACTTCAAAACAGTCCAAAATGTTTCTTAGCATTTTGCGCTTAACTCCCAATAATTACGACAGGCCCTTGTTAAGATGTCATCTGAAGACTGTAGCGTCCATCAAAACTGACATAGTTGTTTCAATTTATTTCACTTGTAGGAAGAATATGTGAATGAGGGCATCAAGTGGAAAGCAATTGACTATTTCAACAACAAGATTGTGTGTGATCTGATAGAGGAGAAAAAGGTAACATTGGAGGCTAAAATTGTGAGATTTTCATATGAAGACTTTGGATGTGTGAGATTGCCATCGCAAGATTGCTACTGTTTCAGTGTTTTTTTGAACTTCTGATCTCCAAGTTTTGTTTTTCTCCCTTTCCCAGTCACCTCCTGGCATCATGAGCATCCTGGACGACATCTGCGCCACCATGCACGCCAAGAGTGAAGGCGCCGACGAGAAGCTCCTACAGAAGCTGAACGGGGCAGTGGGCACCCACCAGCACTTTCAGGGCACCAGCTCCGGCTTCATTATACACCACTACGCTGGCAAGGTATCCAGTCTAACAAATGGTTTGACTGATCTGGAAGTAATTTTATCGCATTTAATTTGACCAATTCAGTAGGAACCCTCAACATTTTCAACGTACATAATGTCCATTTTTATCAGGATGCCAGACTTAATAATGATACATCAAAAACCTTCTAATTTACACTAGAGTAAGGTTGCTGGATTAATCTCCTCAAGACTCATTTTGTAGGAGCTGGTAACATATTTCCTCCTTTCCAGTACCACTCTGCATGTGTTCCAGCCATATGCATCACATATGCGTGTGTGCATTCAGACTGTTGGGCACTCATGTTTGGCATAAACGACAGTGGTGATTGGTCAAAACATGTGGGTGTGGCTTCACTTGGATTGGTCTATGGTACAGTATTTGATGGCCATGAGAGAGAGGTATGAGGCCAGTGGAAATTTGTTGATGATAAATTTGCTCCTGTTTGGTTGCTAGGTGACGTACACTATCGATGGTTTCTGTGAGAGGAACCGAGATGTGCTTTTTCCCGACCTGATTGAACTCATGCAGTCCAGCGAAAAGTAAGTCACTGTGCGCTTGCCTTCTGAGAAAACCTAGCTTCAAAAATTAGGTAAAGAAAAAAGCAAGGAAGTTGGTTGGGAAACGAAAGACAGATAGCTTGCAGGAAAATACCATATCTGACTACTTTTGATTTGTACCTTCGACTGACCGTCCTGTAAAACAGTGTCTCAGAACTTTAAGGTCATGTGTTGATGTACAGTCACACACTTTGGTTGGTTTAAGCTGTGCTTTAATAGTTCATAGAGGAAACTTACAGCTGCTAATTGAATAAGCATTGTTGTATTGACACGAAAATAGTTTCAGCAGAAATGGAAATATGTTGGATGTTTCAATGCTTGTTGATCAAACAGGATCAGTGTACTCAAATTGCAACATGGGAAACACCAAGTTTCTTCCAGCATTTATGTTTTCTCTTTATGACTAGACAAACAGATGGAACTGGAATCCTTCTAAATTGAATGACAGCCTTAAATTTTCACTCAGCCTTTCTGTCATCCAGCCCTTTCATACAGAGACTGTTCCCGGAGAAACTTGGAACCACGGAAAAGAAACGACCCACTACTGCCGGGACCAAAATCAGGGTAAGGCCGTGGAAAAAAATTTGATCTCAAACTTGGAGTCTGTGATATCTTTCGAGTGTTCTTTTTTTTCCTTGTGAGCTGTCCCACCCCTCTCCCTGAGGATTAATACATCAGAGATGGAATTGTCACTTTCAGACACCTGGGGCTAATTCATGTGCAGTGGAGAGAGTGCTCAACACCTCACCCTGGTTTCTTGACAATCTTACCAAACCTAACGTAAGGGATAGGGCAATACAGGATAATTGGGGGAAGAAAATTTGGGCTTATTTGAAATAAATATCACCCAGTTACCCCCCCCCCCCTGCTTTTTATGAGATTTTAAAGACGAATGTAATTATTGTGTCATTAAAGGAACCGGGAAATGGAAATAGTTTCATAAATTTTACTAAAAACCCTTGAAATTGCATCTTTGGGTTTCAATTAACCTCATTTTAAATTTTTGTTTTGCAATTTTAACCTATGTTTTGATGCTTTTTTGGTTTTTATGCTAATGCAGTTTGCATATTCATGAGCAGAACTATGATGTCATCCAAGGCACTGAATCTCAATGTTGCACTGATTTGTGCACAGAAAATTTCTAGATTATTTAACCAGTACTACTATGGCAGATTTTATTTTCTTTGGCAATTTATTGCTGTGTAAGTATATGGCAATAATCTAGCAAAAATCCTTTTAACAGAAATGTCCCCAGATGGCAAATTTTGGATTCACAATTTGAACATGAACACATGCAACCTGAACCATGTCTTCCTGGATTTACTTCAAAGAGAAAGTGCCTTCTCTTTCCAGAAATGCTTGGTCAATTTTTAGTGTTTGAAAAGTGCACCGCTCAGTTCACGTAACTCAAAAAAGATTTCAACAGTCTTCATACATGGAAAAAGAGTACAGAGATACTCAAAAGGTGAGAAAAGAAAAAAGTTATTTCCTGGTTCCTCCATGTGGGCTTGCTTATCAGCCGGAGGTTTGACAAATTCCTCAGAAGGTATCGTCCAGGATTAGGAGTATTTATTCTTGTTTCTTGCCTTGCTTAAACCTAATTTGTTGACAAATGACAAAATAATTGTCAAGTGAGGTTTGATTTTGGAAGGTTAATCTTTACAATTTTCCAACCCTCCATCTCTTTTCTTGGTAGACCCAAGCCAACTTGTTGGTGACAAAACTAATGAAGTGCACCCCTCACTACATCCGTTGCATCAAGCCCAACGAGACCAAACGGCCCCGTGACTGGGAAGAGAAAAGGTAAAGTTTCTTAGAGACAGAAACGGCACTCTGAGCTCACTTTAGAATTTGAAAAAGATCTTTTGCAGGGGAACACTTGTCTCAACTTGCTTCGCTGCTTCCCAACTGGAAATTCGTCCTGTTTGTCTGAATATCTTGGGTCTCTGAGAGTGTGGCAGCCTGGATATCAAATGATGTAATGGTCAACATAGATATTCTAAACGTTCTGACCTTAGAAGGCCCAAAATTCTTCTTGAGTGTCAGTAAAATAAATAATATGAGACCTTTTTGATTTTGTAGAGTGTACCATCAAGTTGAATATCTTGGACTGAAGGAGAATATTCGAGTGCGACGTGCGGGCTTTGCTTATCGGCGGGAGTTTGACAAATTCCTCAGAAGGTATCGTCCAGGATTATGAGTATTTATTCTTGTTTCTTGCCTTCCTTAAATCTAATTCGTTATTTGAATTTTTCAAAGTTTCTTGTTGTCATTGCAACATTAATTAGAAAAGTGGACAAAATTTTGTTGGAAGTTGTATTTAATAGCACAGTCTTTTGAAGTACCGTTGATGGGATGGGAAAATGTTAGTTTTATCATGTGACTCTGTTAGCATCATGAACACTTGGCCTGTTGCAGATACGCAGTCATTACTCCCGAGACATGGCCCCAGTGGCGTGGTGATGTTCGGTCTGGTATCAAGCATCTCATGAATGCCGTCAACATGGAACCGGACCAGTGGCAGCTAGGCAAAACCAAAGTCTTCATCAAGGCGCCTGAATCTGTAAGCCCCCCCCAATTTAACCTAGAGGATTTTTTTTTCACCTAGGCCCAACGAAAAAGTAGCTGCATGTATGGTTACCAGACCCAAACTTAGGAAATCATGCAGTACCCATGGCCAACTCCAGCATTCAGGATTAGAAGTCATTACTGCATTGGCACCACACTCTCATGCAGTTGGTTCACACATATTTTGTTCCTCTTTGACCAATAGGGTACTGCTACGACTTACCAAAGTGTGAACTTTCACGTTCAAAGACACGTGCTGCCATTGTAGTAATGGCATCTCCTCGGATTATCATGATTTTTAATTAAAAAATTGATTGAAAATAAAAACATATGGTGCTTTACCCAGAGCCTAATTTTAGTTGAAAACTGCCCTTTTGTATTCTTTATTTTATTTCTGAACTGGGCCATTTGAAAAAGTAGTTTGCTTTTGTGTGGTTGTACTTACAACCGTCTGCTTTCTAAATTCAGAAACTCAGCAACTGAGTGCACATTACTGATGCCAAGTGTAAACATACATAGTATCAAATCAGACAGAGTACCTTAAGTTTTCACTTACGAGCGCAAACAAAAACGTAATCCATTATCATTTCCACCTGAATACTTTTCCTGAAAGAAATCGAATGATACCATTCTAATATTGTTCTGTGTAATCAGAAATTGTGGCTCTTTTTATTTGGCCCAGAGGTAGTTGCTGCTTTCTACCTCCTTCAATCCTGCAAAATCTTCAAAAAACTTTCAGGTGGATTTTGAAGGATTTTTGAGACAATGCGCTTGCATTTTATACCAGACACCGCTTCCAGTTTCAGTGATCTCTATTTAATTCTTTTCCTCTTTTATCTCCTTGCTTCCATGCCCAGTTGTTCCTGTTAGAAGAGCAACGTGAGCGGAAATACGACCACTTTGCTCGCATCCTGCAGAAAGCTTTCAGACGCTTCAACGCCCACAAGCATTACCTTCGTCTCAAAGAACAAGGTACTTCCTTTTCAATCTTCCTGTAAAATTTTGTAAATGTAACTAGATCCCACGAAATATGTCTCAGTGCCCTGTTTTCAGTAACTCTGGTTTAGTTTCCACAAGTAAGAGGAAAGTCGCTCACTCATCCTGATAAAAACGGAAATATGGATGGAAAATGCTGAGGGTTCCAAGTTGATTTACTCGGTGCAAGTTTTTTTAAGGCCTTTCATTCACAAGTTGCCAAAGCAACTCGTGACTCATTTGTTAGGTTTGGTTACAAATGGAAAGGTATTTGTCCTAATGACATCTTCCTTTTTTTTTTTCAGCATCTGATTTGTTGTACAACAAGAAGGAGAGAAGACGCTACAGTCTCAACCGTAACTTTGCCGGCGATTACATCGGCTTTGAGCACAATCCATTGCTGCAGGCATTGACTGCACGTAGGGAGCGTATCGAGTTCGCCGACAAAGTCAGCAAGTATGACCGTCGCTTCAAGGTGAGTAGGCACGGTTTTTCTATTGCTAGAATTTGCGCTGCTGAGAGACCATGTTCGTAGTTAATGCCGGAATAAGTTTTGTGGAGTCGCTGTTGTTGCTTAAACCTCAAGTCATTCAAATAGTCTCCGAAGCCATAAGAACAAATCCCTTTTCTTTTGTCCTGGGCCTCTTTTACCTAAAGTGAAGGCAAGCCTTCTTTCAGTTGACTGTTTCTTTGGCGGCTTTTATGGACGCAAATTTCCTTTGTTTTGCCAGTCAGCACCTTTCCTCACGTTCCGGAGACAGAACAATGTTACATGTGTGAAATATTGTCTACACATATATTTTCATGAATTGGAACTTTCTGTTTGAAATCTGCATACAGTACTGAAATATTGAAAGTTGTCCGTACCATCTGATACGTACCGTAGATCATGTCTGGGTCTCGGCAACGCTTACTTTACAGGTGACGAAGCGCGATTTGCTGCTGTCGGCCCGCACCATTTATCTGATCGGCCGAGAGAAGATCAAGAGTGGGCCAGAGAAGGGCCAGGTTAAAGACGTCGTAAAACGCAAGATCCCCGTTGGACAGGTGCAGAGCGTGTCACTTAGGTAAGTCGCTCTGTGCCTAGAGGAGAGTGGTTTATATATGACCTAAAGGCCGGTGTCCTATTAAATGTGGATCCTCATAAAAATACGTCCCTCTTTCCATCTAGAATCCCAGTCTCCAGAGTCCGTGTAATAATTATTGTTCTGTGCAAAAAGTTATGTGCAATGCAATCCATGATTCCATTTCGCTCTTTTGAAATTTTGTTCTGTTACAGTTAATTGTAGAGATTCTTTCTTGAAGGCTATTGTACATCACATAAAGTAAACTCACCGAATTTCACATCAGTATCCGTATATTTATTAATCATTGACCTCATTTTTTTTGGAAAAGTTCTATCGATTGTGAACTGGACTCAAGATGTACTAAATTTTTCTCAAACTTCAATATTCTTCATCAATTTCAAATTTGATTTAGCACTCTACAAGACGACTTCTTTGTCCTGCATGTGGAGAACGACTTCTCCAGCCTCCTGGAGTCAGTCTTTAAGACGGAATTCCTGACAGTACTCAGCAAGAAATACAGGGATGCCGTGGGTCGGGAGCTGCAACTTGACTTCCGTGACACGTGAGTAGGCAGTGTGTTGTCATGGCAACAGAGTATCTTGGAGTACTTGTTAATCTGGAATTTTTGTGTCTCTGGCAGCAGAGGAAAAAGGTCCCAAGAATTGATTCATTTTTTCCTTTCGAAGTCGTCAACATTCAAGTCTCGTGAAACAAAAGGCATGAAATACCTTAATTCTCTCCACCACCAGTTGTAGTTACAGAGGATTAAGTGAGATGCATTCTGGGACACACTGCTTTGATCAACCACATTTCAAGGTCACATTTACTGTTATGCTCAGTGTCACATTGCCCTTATTAGAATACGTTACACTATGAAGCATATACACTGATCTTGAAACAATGCAGGTTGATAAAATTTTAGACTTAGCTTTAGTACATTTTGACTAAGGGCAGTTTCTAACCAGACTTCCATAATTTGAGTTGTTTCTTGAAGTTTTGGTCGCAATGGTTGTCCTGATTTTGCTCTGAGATTTCAAGTTGTAAGTCTTTTCTTTCATTTGAATTCTAGGATAGAAGTGGTTGTGAAGAAGGAAGGTTGGGGCGGTGGCGGAACCAGAACTGTTCGCTTTGCTCAAGGCAACAGTGACCTGGCCATCCTCAAAGTCAGCGGCAAGGTCATGACGGTTAGCGTGGGTCCCGGACTGCCCAGAAACTCACGTAAGTTGCATAACGTTGTCATAAGTCATTTCCTTTGCACACTCTCATTGCTGGGTATAGATGATTGAACGGGTGATTTATGAATGAGCCTGCACGACTGCACACAAGTTAACATTTTTCAAAAAGACGATTTGGGCAGCATCTTGCGAAGGTGGACGGAAAAGGAAACAATCGTCGATTGATCAATTAGATAACAGGATATTTCTTGCAGCTCGTTGCCTGAAGTATCCAGATTTGATAGCACACATCTCCAATGACCTTGTGACCTTTGTTCACCTCACCCAGGACCCGGGGTCAGACAGACCCAGGTGACAAGGTCAGACCGAGCTAACGCTTCACCCATGGGCAATGGACGTGTCCAGCGGAAAGCGCCTGGCCGGCCCCCTCCATCAGCCTCCTATGCCCAGGTGGACAAACCGCGGAAATCACCGCAGCACTCACCGCAACACAGTAAGTCGGTATCTGAGTTGGTTTTACCTCATCTATTTCTCATCTGATGCTTCTGAAAGAGTTTCTTTATGTTGTGGTTCATGTAAAAAATAAAATCAGTTGAAAGTCTGCTTTGAAAATTCTAATCACACACTCTAGAAAATAGAATAGCCTCGATAACTATTTACTAGCTTTGAAAAATCTTACTGTGTGGGCATGCGTTGCCCGGCAATGTTGGTAGCCAGCCCCCCCCCAAAAAAATATGTTTTACTTCAGAAGCTCTTCATTTTGACTCCAGCCTCATTTTCAAACTCCAAAAATAAACGCAGGCGCTGTAAAATTAGCGGTCATGTAAAATTAGCGGCAGGAATGTCCTAATATGATCATCACTAAGCTTGGGCTGAGCCTTGCTGTAAATTACCCAAATTTTGCCACACCTTCCTGATGTCACTCTCAACCAGCAAATTGTCCAAACCACTGTCATCAGAGGAAACAGTTTCATGGCTACTTCCTCTCCGAATCTGGAGAGTCCGTTTTTTTGGGTAATAAGTTTGGCAAAGTTCACACTGGGAAATGTGAGGGGTCAACCAGTACTGCCCGTTACCAACCTTTCATTTCCAGCTTTGCTACAAAATGATCACCCGCTCAGTGAAAAAGTGCCCAGCGCCACTGTTGAGTAACAGGCCTTTGCAAGGATCATGCTCCATGGAAATCAGATGGAACCCTCCACATTTTTCCACCCACACAATGTCCTTTCATCGGGATGCCAGACTGAGGGATACATCAAAACAAAGAGCTGATCCTACTGTTGCTGAATTCACTCTGACGCTAAATTTTACACAGACCCAACGCTGATCGAAGAAATGCTCCCGTTGCACTTGCCCCAAAACGTTATTTGGGAAGGAAAACAAAAATGGTGAACAACCTATTGCAAGCCTCGTGCATTGCGTGACAGTGGAGCAGAGTTGTATGCAACACTAGCCTGTCATGACACAATGCGTCTTACAATAGTAGGGCCACAACACAATATCTATCCCAATACGAAGATTGTCAGACAATATCCATCATTATACGTATCGTGAAATGAAATTAAGTTATGGCTGCCGTTTGATACGCACACGTTGTTTGTATTGATAAAGTGTCCACATGCTGTACTGGTGCATGTAACTTCTGTCACAGCTATCTCACCTGTGTAGCCTTCGTCTCACAGGCAAAATATTGCTGTAAGTGGTTAACTTTTTCTGCCTTCATTTTGCACATTGCGTTGTCCACAAAGCTAGACTTGTGTTTCTTGAAAGAGTTTGACTTATGTCAAAGTTTATTCACAGCCAAGTACATGTGTTGTGGGTATAGCCTTTTTGAAATTCAATACTGTACATGTATTTCTCATGCCGTGATTATCAATGCATCGATGAATCATTACACCCCTGTCTTTTCCAGGCATTTTATTTTTTGTTTCTACAGGCATTTCGGTTCTTCCCACTTTCAACTATGTTTGCAGCCTTGATAAGGTTTATGAAATTATAGTTCGGTTTAAAGTTTTCTTTAGTCTTTTGCCAGTGCCTGTCACACAGTTTATGAGAGCATCGGCAAAAGAGAGGAAACATTGTGAAAGGTCACTTACACCCACCAATCAGCTATGATCAGGTCACTAGTTCCAATGATGGGGGATAGGGGGCTATACTTGGCCCCAGCTGAAGCCTGCAGCTGTAGATGCTGATAATTAGAAGGTCCAAAGTGGTCACACGGAAATAACAAGGAGGACGGGAATATCGGAAAAGGTGACAGTTGACAAAAATAGATCAAAATGCAAGTTTTCGGCCCGTGTGACTATCTATCTATTTTCTTGTTTCCTGCAATTGTTTATCTGTGCTTCAACCACATTTCACTTTTACATGAAGGAGAAGAATTTATTCAACAACCGTTTAACACGGTGTCCTTTTGTAAACATCCATGCCTTGCCATGCAGGAAAAAACTTTGTCTCATGTGGCAAGCAGGACCAGAAGTCAAAACTGCTCACAAAAAAAAAATGATCATTTCAATATTACTCACAGTCTGCAGTATTGCAATGCAGCTCTGTTCAAAAATACCGCCAATGACGAACAACTACTACCCACTTTCTCGGTCAACAGAGTTCTAAAAATGGATATATTAGAGGTCTGTCAGCTTTGATCGCAGCCGACAGTTATAATTCTATTCTTTTGAAAGACAACCTTCCAAGAGCAAAATAAATACACGTTTGTAAAGAGTCGTAATAGGTCTATCCATTGATAGACTGGTCCGTTCAGCCCCACCCCAACATCCACGTGGGCATTGAAAGTGAGGGCTCTTACATCTTTAGACATGCACAGAGTGGGCACGTGCCGGACTGATGGTTGTGTCATCACAGCTGTGATTGATCAAAACAAAATGGGGCAGGGGGTGTTGAGATTAATGGATTGGAATACAATGGAAGCATTCCAAAATTGAAAGTTTCCCCGTCATGCTTCAAAAGAGAGTTGCAGACAACAGGCATTTATTGCACTATAAAAAGGTCCCCCCCCAAAAAAAATGGATGATGGAAAAATGTTGAGGAAACTTAATTTGAAGTCTTACACTATCCAAGAGATGTTTTCTGCATTTGTGTGTGCTATGTCCCATTATAAAGTACAGTCTGGAGAAGGATTTGTTTTATGATTAATTTTTTTTAGAAATTGGCCATTTCTTGGGACTTGTGTGTGTCATGTGTGTGTTTTTAAGCTTGATGGTTTGTCTGGTACGTTTATACTGGTCACGGAAGAGATAGACAAAGGGAAGACGTCATTTATGTCAGCATCAAAACTCCTTCTTTACGTGATGCTGAATGTGAAGGAATTGAATCTAGGAGCAGATGTTTTAAATTGTTTTGTCCACACTTAAAGTCTTGCCAGGGTTAAAGTTCCCTTCAGCATCCACACAACTGAATTCTTTGCACACAACGCAGTTTCCTTTACCATAGACCCCCCCCACTACCGTCTGGTTTATTTCTTTCTCCGATGAGTCACACATCAAATGTAATTTGCAGTTTCCCCTCCACAGAGGAAAGAGATTCACTGTTTCAATTTTTCTGTAAGTCACGAAGTCTGGCAACGACGGATGAATGGTGGAAATGACCCGTGCCTTGTAAATGTTGTCCTGTTAAGCATTTCCATTTTGTTCATGCCGGTTAATACCTACCCAAATACCGGCGAAAAACATAACAGCAGTTGGCACTTACTTTTCCGAGCAAAATTGTGATTTCTTGATGGAAACGGAATTCATTCAGAAAAGGTTTGAGTCACACAACAATATGTCTTCAATTTTTCTTTTGCTGTTGCGAACGCCGTACCGCATTGTAAAGCATGGTCTAGAAAAGGAATTTTGCTTCACGATTTCTCTAAAGAGAGCTGTTTTTAGTAATCCACTGTGCAGTACCCCACACCCACGAGTCTACAATACCCAAATTAGGCAAATCGTGTCAGAAAGGACCAAGACTGTTCATTATACCTTATCACGTTTGTTGCCAGTAACTTCAAATATTTAAAAGGGTAAGTGAATGAATTCTTACATTACCAAATTATTTACATATGATGGCATTACTTTTTCAAATCCACTGTGGACAGTCTTAGAAATGCTGTAGTTTGAAGTGTGAGAATTTCTCTTCATGCTCAAGTTTTTAATTCAAACAGTCTCATTAGAAAGAGCCGAAGCCCTAAGGGTCAGATGCATTCACCACATTGACAGGTTCCCCTTCCTTGGCGTGATTGATCGGTTCTCGTCCAGGAGATTGTTGTGAAAATGTTTTATAGTAATGGACTGCCCAATATACACAGAGAGTCCCCATCAGTAGTCGTCCAGTCCTTGATTCCAGCTGCTGATGGAAGTCTAATTTTCGTTGCGCTTGCTTGCCATTAGCCAATGAGAGGGAATTTAGAAATGTTAGGGGGAGAGACTCCAGTCACGGTAGTTATAAGTTGGTAGGAAAAAAAGGGTCCAAATCCTTTGCCATTTTTTAATTTTTGGGGGGAAATATTTTTAAGGGTTGGGTTCCTAGACAATCATAAAAAGGGTGTGCTTGTTTTCCATAAGTACATGTAATTAGAGCAGGTTTGATTCCAATAGTGGAATTCTCTAGAAATAAAATTATATAAAAAGTATGTTAATAATTTCACACAGTAAGCAATTCTATATTGAAATTTACTTTACAAGATAAAACAGTAGGAGCAGTTTGTTAGTAATTTCACTGAGTAAGAATATGTAAATTGTAAACATGTAAAAACTTTTGTGAAAATAAAACCACACATCAGAGCTTGCGACTCCTCTGTTACTTTTCTTCTATTCCGGGGCAACATAACTTGAGAGATGGGGCTTTCTATCCCAAACCAGGCCAGGCTGAATTCACCTGGGAAACTTTTTTATATCTGATATTCCAAAGCCGTTACCAGTAATTTTGTATGTCTTTCACAGCTCTGATATGCCATTACTACCAAAGCCATCTGCATATCTAATAAACTGTACCCTGGAATATCGAAAAGTGGTTTATTTGTGAGGCCAAAATCGCAGCCAACATCCTTCTGACTGCCAGCCTGGTTTGGGCGATGTAGAATAAAATAGCACAAAGCCTGCTTATCACAGACTGCTCAGGACGGTCATGTATATTGAGCAAAATGTTGGTTGGGGTACCAGCCAACAGCACTCTCACGGTGCTACATGCCCAGCTGGTACTCTGCAACTGCATGCTCAAAGTCAAACATTCCAGTATTTAGCGCATTTAAGTGTACAACTTAGCTTAACATCAGTGGCTTAGCATTTCTGTATAGTTTTATATTCATTGCCTTGTTTGTGAAAATGACCTGTTTCTCTGTCTTCTTTTTCCTCTTGCAGAACCAATGATGCGTAACAGTCGGCGTCTTAGCGGGGATCACCCATCGCTTCCCAAGGATGGTGCTGCCAAGTGGGCAAAGAACCCCAGGGTACAGCAACTCAACACAGCCTTCTTGCAGACCCCGGATGCAGGCGTATCAGGGTACGTGCCGTGAGTTTGGTGGGAGGGGGGGACAACAATGCCCTTCCAATAACACGGAATCTGAATTTAGAAACCCTGGAGGAAACAAGGGAAAATCTAGAGAGGTACCCAGAAATGAATGTAGGAGGGGGGCAGTGATGGCAATTTTGTTTTTTTTGAAACCATACTAGTTTCCCTACAGCTGTCATCATATGGAGTGCCCCCTAGTACATGTTATGTGCTTCAGCGAAAATAGCAGCGCCAACAAAAGGAAACACATTACCTTGTTTGCTAAGATAATACCTTGTAGAGCTCTAAAAAATCAGACAAGTTGGCAACTGTCTGCTTATTTCTTTTTTCCCTCTCCAGATTCAAGAGACAGTCGCTGAAGAGACCCCCCGCCCAGCCCAAACCTAAGCCCCTCCCCAAGCCCAAACTACCCATGTGCCGAACACTCTATCCGTACGACGCCCAAGACACTGAAGAACTGAGCTTCAGCCCCGGCGAAACCATCGAGATCATCAGCGAAGGTGAGACATGAGTCAGATCTGAGTCATTATTAGTTTTGTCATACGTGGTTCTTACACATGGTGCATCTGTCCTTGCCTGTCCAAAGAAATAAACTAAATAAATAAATAAATCAGTTGAAGTTTTTTGTTTTGTGGTTACCATTAACTTGCCAGTGAAACATCACACCTGAAAAATTGATGATACGTAAAGGATGAAGTATTTGGTTTCAATTTTGCGTAAGGATCACACTATAGAGAGAACAATTTGTTTGTTGTGTGTTCAAAATTACAGTGTCTTCTAGACATGTCATTTATTGGTAAGAAGCAATGTTTTATGGATTTCAATTCTATTCAACTTTGTCAAGACTGGAGTTTTAAAGGAGACTTTCTAACTTGCTCACTTCAAAAGTACAGCGAGACAGATTAGCCCATTCAAAAATCTTGCCTGTTTTGTCTGATTCCTTTGTTTTGATGTAATTTGTTCTTTCCTTTCAGACCCCTCTGGGTGGTGGCGGGGCAGGATGGGACGAAAAGAAGGCCTCTTCCCTTCCAACTACATCGAAAAGATCTAGACAGCCCCAAAGAAAACACTTTGTAAATATTATCAACTAACAATGAAACTTAGACATGCATATAATACAAAGGAAACCGACTAACCGAACGCACTATGGAGTGATGAAGGAAATTGATCAGAAACAGAGCTTGAGCCTGTAACCAAATCACTGCCCCTGGTGTTGTACTAAAGGAGCTTTCAACCACTGGTTGGCAGTGTCGTTTAGTCAATCTTTAACCAGGGTGCTTCTCAGGAAATCAGGGGAGATTTCTGACATTCTCACAGAAGTTGACGGCCTAGTTGGTGGAGCACTTGGGTCATATTCCAGACAACACTGGTTCTAATTCTCTCTCGGATGAGTTTTCCCAAAGCTAAAAAGAACTCAGTGACACTAAGTTCTTGACAAGACGCAGAGCTCTGTCACATGGAAACTCCCCTTTTGCCTAGTTCCCTGACGGCACAGAGTTGCCACCGAACTGATTTGGTCACTTGGCACCAGCCTGTTGCCTTCCTATTTGTTTAGTACATGTATGATGACCAAAGCTCGAGGAAGTATAATTAGGGTTGATAACCAGATGTGGAAAGCAATAGACACGTTAATCATGAATTGATGCTCTGCAATCACAGTGTTCAACGTGTCATTCAATTAATAATGAATGAATAATCAGACACTAAGAACAATTTTTTTAATTAACTTGGGTTATCAGGGGAGACAATTATAATGGAATTGTGCCTTAATATCAGCAAGTGAGATTTTGTATTCTTTTAAAATGATGCAAGGGCACTTTTTATGATTATGTCATTTTTAAAAATGGCTCGAAATTCACACAAGGAATAATTGGAGCTCGATAGAGGGCGATCAGAACTGTTTTCCACAAGGGAGTGACAAATGAACCTCAACTTCCTCCCTAAACTGTAACAGACAATGCTCTTCCTGACAGGGCCTGGATATGAGTCATGCCTGGGTCGGAGGTCAAAAGTCAATCGAAACAGTCAATCCAACAGTCATGCTTTGTGTATTGAATTTCACTTTCTTTCTTTTTTAGGCTATCAGGCTGTGAGCCTGTGTTGCGTCTGGGTTTGTCACGTTTGTCACATTCTTGGGCAGAGAATGTTGAATTTTGGACAATGCGGTGTTATGTCTAACAGGGAAATGAGAGAGTATTTCTCTCTCAGCAAGTATTGTATTGTTTTGTCTGTTGAGGGTCCTCTGTAACACCTGTATACCTATAAGAGAAAAAATTCAGGATTTGTTTGTGGGAGAAGAACAGCATTTATCAACAGATAGGAAAAGCATGCCAAGAAGACAGCACTTGGTACTTGACCATTCGTAAATGCTTCTTTGAATGACCAAAACTGGACAAGATATTGAAAAGGTTTGTAAGGAATTGTTCCGACCTGCGAACTGAACACAAGAGTTAATTCTTCACCGCTGATTTTACAAATCACGGAAATGACTGCAAACAATTTTTTTCCGTTAAAAGTAGAAGGAGTTTGGATGTTGAAGATTGTACAAATCTGAAAAAGTCAGAAATTGAAAGGCAACAGACGTTTGTCGTGCACTCCTCCATGTTGGTCAGGATACCAGAAGGTATGATAGATGATTAGGAGGGGTTAGCAAGTTTTCAAAGGCACCAGACGTACAGAAAAAGTTTTTGGATTAGTTAAGCGTGGTTGTTGTGTTGACTGTAAGCTTGAACAAATTGACTTCAAATTGACTAAATAAAAGATGGAAAATTGCCATAGGTTCTAAAGAATCCTTTCCATTGCATTGAAATTTCAAGGCACATTCGGAACTGACAAGGCTACAAATTATTTGGTTTGGACGTAACATTGATATGCACAGAATGTTTGCTTGCTTATGTATATTCTATTTACACAAGTTGTAGATTACAGAAAACCAATCAGATATATTAGATATATTTTTTGTATCAAAACGGGCTATGATTTTTTATTTATCAACAGAAATTACAATACATTAAAAACTTAAGCAAAGTAGCATTAGTTGTATATTTGATTTGTTCTGTTGGTGGTACATAGCTTTTGCAGAAATGCAATAATTGATTTTAATTTTCCAGATTCTTGGAAAAACATATTTGATTTTGGACCTTTGTTCTTTCACTTATTTTCTGACTCTTTCCTATTTCTCTGTTCAGTTAGTAATGCAGCTTTTTTCTCTCTTTCATGTCAGAAGTTATTTCCAATTTTCGATGAAAAGTCAGCCATTTTTAAACTTTTGAAAATAATGGGTATTTTTTGGTGATTTTTTTTCATAATACGGTGAAGTGGCATTTATATTTTTGTAATTTTTGGGACCTATAAATAATTACAAAAGATCCTGTGGAATTGTGATTATGGAATTGTTCACAATTAAAATTAGAATATGTAGATGTTTTGTGCGGGAAATATTGTAAGTTGTGGATCGTGAATAGATTCATTTGAGATAAAAAATATTTCACTTTTTTATTCGTCACTCATTCCTCTGAGATAACAGCTAAATATTTATAAAATGTGTCACTCCCTTAAAATTTTCAGTTGCTAGACATTAAATAGTAGGGACGAAAACAGAGTTGGTTCTGTTCTAGTAAAATTTTTGAGCTTGAAGACCAAAAATTCTTGATCTACAAAAGTGTTCTCTGGAAAGCAAAGATGAGAAAGAAATTAATCATGACGCAATCGATTGGTTTTATCATGGGATTCTTGCTTTTAGTCCATTTCTTTGAATGCAGGGAAGTTGAACAGTAGAAGGTCATATCCGCTTTTCCTTCATTTTCTAATGTGTGTGTCTCGGCCATGTAGCAAAGATCATTTTAGAACATTCAAAGGGTGTGTTTTGGCTGAAGCATAATATGACGTGTCACAGTATCATTGGTCCGTAGTGCGAACCGCAGACACAGTTGTCGGTTAGCTACACCTGCTCCGAGTTGGAAACGGAGAAGAAATCAGAAACAAATTGCTATCAAGTGTGGATATAGATGATAAAATGTGCGCTCTCAGTTTATGTCAGCAACGTTTGCGGATGGATCCCATTTTGCCGAGTTTATTACTCTTTGTTTTTGTTTAAAGCATCTTCGAAAATTTGTTTTTGTTTTTGTTTTCAAGAATTTTCTTCCTCTTTTAAGTAGCCGCAGATAGTTTTGTGCGTCACTGTGTTTGAGCTGGTCTCAATTTGGTGATTTTAAAGGGGAAGTAATGTGCCTACGTTATGCCTTTCTTGGTGGTGGGAAAAAAAACACATGTATGCAAAGATATATCCAGAAAATATTGAGTGATTTCTGTGACACGTCAGCGGACGCATTGTGACCATTTAACGTGTTATTGTAGTTCAACGAAGGTTATGCACATTCGGGCGAATAGGAACACCTGTTTATTTTGTAGAATATTCGGATTTTTTTTCATGCGTTCTTTAGATTGAAATAGCTTCTATTTTTTGGCTTTATTTTTCCACCAGTTATGTACTTTAGTGTACTTTACTCCGCTCATAATTGTGACTTGCTGCTTGTAACATCTTCTGAAACGATATAAACCACTGTGGAGTATTTCAAACCTGTTTCACGTGCTTGTTCTTTATGTAATTGCGCTGTTGGTGGCATTTTGTGTTAGACTTTGGAAAGTGGCTTTGGTAAATTAACTTGTGGATTAGTGGACCTGCGAAATTTATGAAAAACCGTCGACTTATGGGCAGTTTTAATTTTTATAGGGCTTTCTAGGACCTAGTGTCTACAATACATGAACATGAGTCGAACGTTGTGTGTTTCTCGCAGGATGTAAGGTATGATTGTGTCTGGAAAGAAGACCACGCTAACACATCGCATTTTGAGTTTGTGTGTTCCCGAGGGTGCAGGTGACTCATTGTCTGAATGGCTGAAACCCACCAGGTGTCTCTGCGTCACCCGTAGCCTCCTCCTCCAGCCATGTGTGGGAAACGATGCACAGCCCAAGATGCTTGTGGTCTGTCAAGTTGAAAAGAAGTCCCGAATGGCGACAGGCAAGTTTGCGGAAAGTCGTTCCTAAGGTCGCGACTTTGCATATAGTGTTGTTTAACACCCCTCCCCTGTTTACACTCTGTTCACACCCCTCTCCTTTGATCACCCTGAACTGAAAAGTCAGCGTTCACTTCGAGTCTCGCGTCTCACCTTTTTATACGACAACAGAAACTGCCATTTTAAGGCGTGTATACGCAGCGTTGGTAGCAAGACAGAATTAGCTCCTGGCTGTGCTGCGTGGAACATGATCGAATAAACTTGGACTCACTGTCAGAAAATAAGTGGCCAAAAAAAATTAAGCCTTTATTGAAGGCTAAAAGTCCTGTGGGACTTACCCTGTCCTGTCAGACATCCGCTCTGTGCACACACACGATATTTCTTGTGTAGGTATTCGGTGAAACTACTCATTTTTCTTGTACTGTTCACACTAATTTCGCTGGATATGTTAATCTTTCCCTAACTGTTCCTCTTCCTTTGCTGAAACCTTTTTTTTCAGAGAGGGGAAAACCTTGTGTGGACATGGCTTTATAATAGTCCGCAAAAGGTTCACAGAACCAACATTATGTGGACCTGTTTTTGTTCTCAGGTCTACTCAAAGAAAGTGAGGTGTGGATATGAGGATCCGAATTGGGAGCGAGGGTGTCAAGTTTCCCGTAAATGCCCCAACAGACCGGCGACGCGCACACGCCCAAGATGAAAGGCTACATTACCGGTGCGCGCGCACCCTTTCGTCCCTGCTATTTTGAGAAGCATCGGCGGCATGAATTTTTCAACACAGTTTTGTTAGGAAGGCCGCTCCCTTCTTGTGGTGTGCGAAGATAACACACCAAGACCAGTACAGAGACAGTGGGTGTTCAAAAAATGAATGACACACCTTGACCTTCAACCATAATTCCCGCTGTGGTGTACCCAACATGGTGGGAAACCAAAAGATGACTACAGCACACAAGTCGAAATTTTAAGAAGATTGCTGGTTCAATGAGTGGGGAATCACAGAGAAATTGACAGTGGCTTGTCAGTTGAGGCACGGACCATTGGTTGAGGTGCCGGTGTAAACTGACTTGCCAACATGAAGTTTTCTTGTCATTAACTGAGGGAGTTCACTTGGTGTCGTGCAGAATTCAAACGTCTGTTGAATTTTAAATAAGTCGAAGGAGACCACCTCGGTCTGCTCATTGACTTGCTGTGAGGATTAATTCAGTCCTGCCTTGTGTTATTTTTAACCAATAATCAACCAGATTTCGAACAAGTTCAGTTCTTACATGAAAACGAGGCTCATATGCCTTAGAAGCCACAAACGATATTTTGAAAAAATATTTGCACAAAATAAAAAGTACAGGGTTGGCATCTCGTTTTTGATATGGTGTACACGCATTTATATTCACTAAAAACAATGCGAATTACACATTTCAATGAAGAGGTACTATAATCTCACTTTTTCCGTTTAAAGATCCACGTCAAATTTCAGGTTTTTATACTTAATATCCTCTGATACAATGTACACTGTTTAATCGAATACAATATTTAAAACAGTTCCTCGGTGTAATATCGTGATCAGAATATAGCTTAAGTTCAGGCTATTATTTCCATGATCGTTATCAAGTTTCGAGCAGTCCCTCAACCTAAATCAATAATCGGTGAACAGTTTTTATGATCCGGAATACATCCTTTGTTCAATCACAGCAGCGTCGGTTGAGCCCTCAAAAGTTCTTTGAATTCTCTAAATTGAAAAAATTCCAGATATTCAGTTGCGAAAAATATTTGTATAAAAATACGTACAGAGCAACAACGATAGACAAAATTCAGTATAAAATCCAATTTACAAGATATCAATATATACTTAAGAAAAAGCAGCGAAATATTAAGTATACAGAGCCACTGGTATTCGTGCACTCAACTGGTGCCCCAATCATAGCCCCCGCTGTTCACAGAATTATGCACTGGAAGAATTGCGTAATCCACACCAGCAGTCGAGTTATGTGATTGGTTAATTGTTTCTCTGGTAGCGGGCAGATCCAGATCAGCATACAGTAGCTCATTATTAGGGGGATGTTGAGGAGTCGGTACAGGTGACTTTCGAGGAAGCGGTGGTAGAGGGAAGCCCGGCGGTGGAGGCGCCTGCGCCTTAAGTAGTCTTGAGGTGTCCGACCGCCTCGTGGTCGGGGTAGCAGGGGCCTTGCTCTGCAGTCTGACGGGCAAGGTGTAGGCCTGCCCGGGCAAAGAGCAGCCGAGAATGTCCACTTTTTCGTAGCTGTGGTGGTTTTTCCGGGCTTTTTTCTTTTGCGTTGCCAGGGCGCATTCGGGCGCTGGGGCAGCAGCGCTTGGAGGCACAGGCGCCGGACCTTTACGCAGTTTGTCTGGTTTGGCGTAAATTGGACACTCGTCCATCTTTTTTATGGTACCCGTGGACAGCCCAGGTTTGTCCTCAAAGCATTTCTTTTTGTTGGCAGTGGCCATGCTGAACTGACCGCTGGCTTTTGTTTTAGTAAGCAAAATGGCGATGACCACCAAGGCCAGTATAATCCCTACGGTGGCTAGGATTGCCCCGGCCACCACGCCAGCAGTTGCACTATTGGTCTGTGGCTTAAGAACGGTAGGTCCGATCTTCTTCTTGTCATTCTCAATCGGGACGTTGTCTGTAGTCGGGAGAAGTAATCCTGGATTAACCTCCTTGGTCGTAGACATAACCGGCGGTGAGTTGATGGAGAGCTTGGCCCAGGCTCGGCCTATCAACCCAGAGTGTGTCGAAACCTCGCAGGCAATTAATGCCCCGTCTTCCCAACTTCGAGCGTCGGTGATCCGCAGTGTCCTGTTGTCGTCCAGCAACTTATAGCGCTGGCCCCGGTTCTCTTCCCCCGTCACGTCGATGTAATTGACCAGCCACCTGTAGCCTGTGACGGCCGGGATGCCAGCGCCTGCGCAGGTATAGGTCACCGACTCCCCCGGTTGAACAACGTGCAACTGCGGACTGATGGATGCTTCGGGCGGTATGTTAAGTACCATCGTCTCGCACTTGCGTACTGGCAAGGAGGGAGCCTTGGACTTGGCGAAACAGGTGAACCTGACCCCGTTGTCGCTTGCCGTGACCATGTGCTGCAACGCGTTGGCTTGCGTCGTAACATCGGATATCAGTAAATCCCCGCGATGCCAGACCAAGTCCGCGGGAGGGGTCCCCCCGTGTGAAGTGCACGATAACTCGGCCGTTCCCCCTGGTCGCTGTTTCGTAGGATTGGGTTGGACGTGGCAAAGCGGGTACCCAGCATCTGGGGGAACCACGACTGTCAGTACAGCAGACCGGTACTCCGAGCCGCACATGCAGCGGTACTCCCCTTCATCGCCGAGTTGGATGGCTGAGATTTTCAGGGTATACTCGCCTCCTCCGTGGTTGCGCACCACAGAGTACTTGTCCCTTGTCGGCCCCATGACAACACTGTCTTCACTGAGTATCCGATTGGACTCAAGATGCACCCATTTCACCGGTTCTCTCTCGGTACCCTGGGGTTCCACGCTGCACCGTAGGACCGCCGTGTTGCCGGCGGCCAGAACAAGGTCTTCTGGACTGTCGAGGAACACTACCGCGGCCGACACGGCGGCCAAGATAGTCTGCAAAACGACTGGTGTAGCCACTCTCCTGGCACTCATGGCGACTGGAATGAGAGTCCAGACTCTGCCATGAAATATCCCAGGCAAATCAAGATGACTTCGGTAACAGGTTTCTGCTGAGGCGAGCCCCGACTCGCGCAACTCATCATTGTAGCCATAGGTGTAAGATAGGAGCGTGCCCCGCCGTTTTACAGCGCCGTATTCGAAGGGGATGACGAGTCATCAAGGGTTCCCTCGTTGCTACTGAATGCGTTCCCTGCTAGAGACGCTCAACAAACCACAGCTCCTAGTGCCGGCAGTGACGTTCAGTAAGCTCGTCACTTCCTGACCAGGGAATGAGGGAAAGGAGGCTACTTGGTCATATCGCCCGCACAGACTATTAGGTCCTCCAGATTTAAACCCACGATGACAAGTGTTTCAATCCCTTTACCAAATGTTCAGTTTACCTGAAGAATTTCCGTTTTCACTTCCCTGTTGAATTGTGAGTGAAAAACTGGATCACGTTTGCTGTTCGTGAACACGTATTTGTAATAAAAATCATAAACGGTCTAATTGTTCAAATGTCATTCACTTGTAGCCCAGGAGGTGTCATTTTGGCATGATTTGAGGATGACCTACGGGCAAAAGAATCGGTCGTTAATTTGTTAGATTTAGGAGTTCAAATATCATTTCAAATAATAATATCACTTCCTTATTCTACCCGACTCATTCTCGCCGACTTTGCTTGGACGTGATCTCATAATATTGATTGCGTTGACAATCCATCAGATTGTATGCACTTGCCGTTTTAGGACGCGGTGCGTCGTTTTTCGTTCATGGCACTGTCATTGTCAGGCCTGTCATTCTGAAAAATATGTAGTATCGTCGTCTTACACGATAAAGACTACCCAAATCAGTCTTTGGTATGATTGTGTCCTTATCCCCACCGACGTCAAATACAAAAATATGGACTCGCCATGCCCCAAATCGGCCCACCTATGTCATTGAAGCCACCGGTGGATGACCATTTTACCATTCCGAATGCAAAAGTAACAAAAAATGGCAGTGTGTTTAATAATAATAATATATACAATTGAAAATTTATAATGCGCTGTTTCCATAATAATGATCAACGGCGCAGTACAAGTTGACGTAAAAAAATGATTGATTTAAGAAATGAAAGGATAAATGAATGAATGTCACCGCACTAGTATCCAAACCGCAGTGTGGGGATACACTTACATTTAAAAACGGCAAGGCTCTGCCCGCACCGTACGTGCCATGGCAAGGCATTCCATAATTTAGGAGCAGCATTGCAAATGCCCTGTTACCAAGTGTGGGTAACATTTAACTTTTCAAAGGACCATTGCTTGCTGACCTGAGATGATATATAGACTCCTTAATGATGACAAGTTTCACACGGGATCTGGATCTCGATCAGTGATTCTGTCGCTGGTTCGCTCCATCCTTTCGGCATGGTGTCAGTGAACCAGCAACGGATCACTGATCGCGATCCATTGTCTCGCTTTTGATTGTTAACCAAATCCTCCGTGGCAACGATAGTTACAATGACGTGCAAGTCAACGATCGCCTTTGTATTCAGCCCGGCAAAATGGCTGCCGGTGGCTTCAGTCGGTACAAATCATTGCGAATCCAGATTTTTTTTATGATGTCCGTGCCTAGCCCTCGCTAATCCCCGACCTTGGTCTCATCGTCGCATAAAGTCACGTAATCCTAACTCTTCTGAAATGAAAACCCTCCTTCCGCACTCTCTTGGCGTGTTTCCTTGGGTATTTGCTGCAGTATCCCCTGGCATTTTGGGGCTGCTTTCCTGCCCCCATTAACCTCGTATCCCTTGAGCTTGCGCGTTCCGGACAGTGACTCAGAATTCTGACATTAATGCACACTTCATGAAAACTTCGAGTAGTCGGGTCACGCTCGGGTCGAGGTTTTAATTAAAGATTACACAAGGTCGCATGAGGGCGCTTTTGCATTTCCAGAAAGTGTTACTGAGTAGTAGATAAGCTGTCTCAGACAATAACAACTCACTTAAAAAAAAGTAATAAATGAAAAATAAATAATAATAAAAATCCGGAAAAAAGAAGTTTAATTTTAACAGGTGTTTGAGACGCTCATCAAAAAGAGCTTATTTTCCTAATCTTTCACTTTCTTTTCAGTTTCTTGTGGCTTAGCCAGTGACTTTCAGGAAATTTTATGCAAAGAAAATTACCCTGAAAAACACGTGGTTGGAAAGCCACTGTCCCATATGAAAATTGCTTCCAATCCACTGCAAAATAGAGCCAGGTGGCCATGGAGAGCTCCGGTTTTCAAAATTTCTTTGAAATACAGGTTTGCACACCTGTTGGTAGATTGCGTCCTTCTATTTCACAAAACCCAGTCCAGGGACCCCAAAGAACAAAAACATGTGACATTTGACGAGGGGTCTTCTCATCTTTCCATCATTCAACCCTTCTCTTGCACACAGAGAAACTGTTTACACGGAGAGTACATGAGAAACTGCCACTTCATTTCCTTGTTTCAGAATCAGCAGGATAGTCCGGGTCATTTCCCCAATGTTCTGCTTACCTTGGAAAATGTCAAGCAAACCCCGTACTCTTCCCTTCCTATCGAAATGACACAAGGTCAGGCTTAACAATACCAGCTGTAGATAACATGGGACTCGACCGGTGCGAATGCGCGTAGGCGCCCATGTATGCCTGTGACATTTTTCTTGTCTCTTTACTTTTGGGTTGTTGTATAGGAGTGTCCGGGCCCCCGTAACTTCGCCCTTAATGCCGAGAAGCGTATTCGTTAGACAAATGGTGACGTCATCGTAGGCAGGCGCTCCCACCGACGTATATAAAAAACCTTGACTTGCAACGCCTTTATATGAAAAAGAAGCCAACCAGCGGCCATTTTACCGAGCCGAATACAAATGCATGGGTTTGCTCCCTTCTATTGACGTCAGGAAGAACAAAGGCGGGCATTGCCAGGAAAGCTTTGTATTCGGCTCGGTAAAATGGCCGCGAGTGGATTCAGTGATCTCTATTAGCTGATTAAGGGTATTGCGAGTCCAAATTTTATTATAAACGTCCGTGGGTGCTCCACAGTTTGATTAAACAGTTTTGCCACATGTTGTGTGTTGTACGCTGTGGCCAGCTTCTCACTTTTTCTATAGGGATGTACAGTCAATACGTAACAGGAAGTCGATGAGCAGTCGTTACCGGCAGACTGCTATAACGAGCCGTGACTCTTACAGGTTGATAGTTTGTAAAGAGAATTCCCCAAAATGTAGGTGAGTGTGTGTAGTGACACATCTAGCAACACTATAAAGAGAATTGAAGTAACATCCTCAAACTGATTTCTGTATTAATTCATTTTCTGGGAAGGTGGCTTCTCTTTCCCTTTGAACGCACTCATATACATTATTGAATGTAAACTTGTAAGGTTTATTGGGATAGGGTCATTTTACGTGTTCGTGCTTTAGTAGAGTTTTACAGTGGGGGAAAATCGAGAAAATAAATGCGTCGATCGCCAACTTTTTCAACCTGTGAACGTTCTAAAAGATTTTTTGTAGGAACATGTCTCGACAGTTATCCCCTAAAGTGGAAAGCGAATGATGGCGAGAAGTTTGGTAACATTATTAAGAATGAATGACTTTTTTTGACTGTACAACAAATATTCCGGTGACTTCAAGTCATACTTTGAAAAAAAAAGTAGAACATTTACATTATGCAAGTTCCGGACTTTCCTTGAACAGCTCATAATTATCACCCATGTCTTTAATCTATGTACACACCTGTCGTTTATATCGGATTCTGTCAGTCTTATTAGCCACGAAATAAAATTTATATACATCTTAATATCTTAATACTTTCACTGATCAATACACTTGTTAACTTGCGTTATCTTAGTACATGTAGTCTGATAGCCCGTCGCTATTGTGACCAGTAGGGACAGTCAAAGACTGTCAAAATTGTCCAAATCAATGCAACATCCTGACTGTTTCCCAGTGATGACGTCATATAGTTGCTCATGAATATGGAAATTCACATTACCGTAAATAAAAACACAAGGATGCCAAAAAATGACTTCCAAAATTGCAAAACAAAGCGTGAAAATAATGAAAACATTATGTTGCATATTCAATGGTTACACAAGTATAGCGAAGAATGGAATTGCGGGATACACTGTCCTACTTTTTTACGGATTGTTACTTGTCCATTATTCACCCAGTTATTTCTAAGTAAACAGGGTTGCTAGCTATTGTAGGTCTTTTGCAGTACTCATTGGAATAAGGCATCTCGTATTCCCAGCACATTTCATCGTCCGATTGCGGTGGCTTGGGTACCGTTGGCAGAACGTTGCCTACTGTCTCGTAGTCACTCGAGCTACCGTTGATAGTCGGTTTCTGCAGCATCGCGTAGCCGTCCTCCGACACCTGCACGCCATTTTTGGTTCTTAGGTGTGCGGTCGGCTGGCCTGTCCCGTTCGAGCTCGGAGTCGATTCTTGCTGATTCTTCCTGCGCGCTTTCCTGTTTTTCTTGACAATGTAAACGATAAGGATGATTGCTAGGGCACTGACAGCGAGGCCTGCCACCGCGCTGACAATGATAAGTTCCATCGACATTTGGTGAGTCGTGTCGTTTGTCCCTGACTGGTTGGTGGACTGACCAGTAGATGCAGGTGACACCGACAATGACAGTGACACGTCTGATGTTGATGGTGTCGTCGGCTGAAGTGTAGTCATAACGACCACAGTTTCTTGAACTCCGTTGACGTCGATCCTTGCCTCAGCCCGACCAATTGTTCTACCATTAACATTAAGCTCACAAGCCACCACAGCGCCATTATCTGATTCTCTGATCTGTCCCATCGTCAGACTCTTCGTGTCCATTGAGATTACGAATCGTTCTCTACCGTTGTTCTGGACGGTTTCCCCGTTCAGGGACCAGGTGTAGCGGCTCTCGGCCGGAATGGCGCCCTCCGCCTCGCAGGCAAACGTCGTGCCGCCTCGCAAGTCCAGGGACGCCGAATCGGGCATGATTCGAACGTAGGGAGGCGCGCTGGCGGGCGTTAGGCGACACGATCGCGGAGCGTCCAGGGCTGGACTATCAGCGTAACAAGTGAATTCCCGGTCAATGTCGGATTCCTCAATGACCAAATCCACCCTGACAACTCCGTCGCGGCTTACACTCGGTTCCAACGCTGTCTGGCCACGCTTCCACGTCAGAGACGCCATCGGGATGCCCCCCAAAGACGTGCACATGAGACGAACAGCATCCCCAACCCTGAAGAATCCAGGAATCGCCGTTGAGGAGTCATCTGTAGGTGTCATGAAACAAATCGGTGAGGTGATATCAGGGGGAAGCACTACTTGGAGTTCCGCTACTTCCGAGATGACGCTTGATGTCGTCTCATATCCACATCTGTACGTCCCAGAGTCTGTTCGATGGGCATTAGTGATTCGCAGGCTGTACTCGCCTCTTCGCCGATTGCCAACGATACTGTACTCACCAGATGCTGGTGTGGCCCCGACCTCAATGTTTCTATCCCGGCTGATAGCCGTCAAAGCACCGTCCATCCCGACGCGGTACCACCGGATCTTCTCAGCGAGTGATTTGCCTCCCACTCTGCACCCTAACGTGGCTGTCTCTCCCTCTCTAACCGTAGTGATCTGTGGGTCTGTGCTAATCGATATCCCCGTGGCTCCTTTGCTGCAGGCAATCAGGAGAAACAGCATGAAAGCTCCGTGCACAGATCTGTTGAAATACCCCATGGTGAACTTAACTTCATTCGCTCGCGAAATCCAGAAATGAAACAAAGGCTGCAGGTCCACCATCTATGATGCGTGTGATTGTTGTGCAGGTCGATTGTTTGAGCTGTCCCTGTAATAAAAGACAACATCCTTTTTCCGTAAACTGTCCATCACACCATGTCATTGCGTGGTTTTCCGGTATTTGATAACTAACAGCAATGATGTCACGGGCAACTGGTATGGTCGAGTTTACACCCCCATAACCCTGGCATACGGTGTGCGTGTAGCATGCCATCTATGCAATGACACGGTTTTAAAGCAACAGAAGAATTGTCAGAGGTATATTCTTTTCATTCCTTCTTGACAAAATGACAAAAAATGACAAAAAGTGCTGCATTGGATCCCTTCATTTTTACTAAACAAGAAACAGAACAAGAATCCGAGGAGTGTGATATCTAACACAGGGGACGCTACATGAGGTCATGTGCCTTGTTTCACAAAGGACGAACCTGGTTTTCATTGAGATTGCTTGACAATATCTGTTTCGAGCTAGCTGGCCGGCTCTAATGGGAACGATTTCCAAGCGGGGATTTTCTGTTTCCATTTGTTGCTGTTTGAGCCAACATCTGAAACAGTGGTGTCATCATTTCGCGTGCCAACTGCCAGACACAATGCATCCCGAACTCCTAGTGGACTGTGAGCTCAACCACCAAACAGTCGTCGAGCTTATATTGAAGCGGATGCGTCACTTTGAGCCAATGGTAGGCCTTTCATAAAAACTGTATGACCTTATATGGCCATTTTACTTCCTGTTGCTTGCCAAGCACGGACTGAGAGTGGGTTCTGGAAACAGGATTGTTGTACCATTGTGACAAGACATAAATCAAAATATGAAGTATGGCGTGGGATTTCAAGAAGTCCGTTTTTGAAAGACTATTTGTATGTGAGGTAATGTATTTACAGAGAAATATGAAAAACATTTTGACAGACCCTAGTTAAGGTTCTCGGAATTCCTTCAATCACCGTTGAAAACACCATTGTCACCACAAACAGAATTCACATCTAACTATTATAACCGAAGTTGGCTTTATTTTGTTTTTGGTCGTGAAGTTTCGGAGAAATGTTTGCTACAGAAGTCTTAATTACATTGGTAAAGTGTGGGGGGAAAATAGATTCTGCCAATGCGCAGCTGTGCCTTCACCCCAGAAACAGTCGGTAGGGGAACATTATCCATACTCCATATACATTTTGGCTGCTCATTTGCTATGGGTCCTGCATGCCACTTGACATCAATACAGTGACGTAATGTGATTGACAGATTTACACAACAATGCGTGAAACCGCAGTTATTGCAAATGCATTGTGGTTTGTAATGTTATGTCGGTGCGTAACCCTTGTATATCGTTCAGTGTGCAAAATACACTGACATAATTATTGGGAAAACTTGACCGCATGGTCACGTTCCCTGGTGGCCTGAGGGTATACCAAACCTATGCAAACATTTGTATAACAAAAGTAATGTCACTTGAATCAGTTCATTAAATACATGTAAGTGAAGTCCTCGAATTCAATTCTACAAGTGATAAAAATGGTGAAAATGAAAAGTTACTGTAATTGTGTGGTTCTCTTCTAAGAAAAAAACAGTTTTATTCAATCATCGTTGAAATCAGTGCAAAATTATGACAAACATTTTTATCGCTTGTCACTCCCGGGGCTTTCTTGAGTTAAAATGTTTAGCGGCAGACTGCAGGTAGCAAAAGAGTTAATTAATTTGGACGACGTCACACCCATACCTTGCATAATTTGGAATAAAAAATCAGTATCTATCCTAGTTTAATCCTAAAAAAAGGTACAAGGTTCTCTGGAAGCATGGTGGCATTTGTTTAATGGTGACGTCGAAGCAAGAAAGAAAGGCAGGGGGCGCACTTTGCACCGACTGACGTTTTTGAACCACCCGTATGTTTCTAACTTTGTTTAGCGTTGAAGCGTCATTCAGGTAATCCGCCGAGCCAAAACCACTTGGAAGTATTGTCAGGTGTATTATGTCCCAGGAACTGCAATGTAGTTGGTCGGCCAGGTTTGTTAAAAAATAACGGGCGCCCAATTGGGCGTCCTAAGAGCATTGCTCTGCACTACACTTTATTCGCCGTTATAGCTAATTGTCTACACCTAAGACAAGCATCATCAACTCCATGGCAACAGTACCGGTGCGAACTGTCGTTTGGCCACCAGTCATATGCTTCTTTTTTTTTCTTGGCCAATGACATGTCACAATAATCATTATTTTCATGTAAACGGTTCCTTCCTCGCAGATAAACTGACTACCTACGGATAACCAAATGGCGACCCTGCCATGGGGCCTTGTTCCAAAACGGTCGACGAGATGGTCCGATCGTTCGGGTGACGTTCACTTTATATCATCTCACCCACAGATTCTGAATCCTTATTGGCCGAAAGCTACTTTTCTCATTGCATTCGTTACTTTTGCTAATTTTTTTTCACGGCCAAAGAGCTAATTATAATAATAATAATAATAATTGAACCTTTTTATGCGCCGTTTCCATAAAAAAAGATCAACGGCGCAGTACAAGTTAACGTAAAAAATAATTAATTTAAGACATGAAAGGATAAGGATAAATGAACATGGATAAATGAATGAATGTCACCGCGCTAGTACCCAAACTGCAGTAGGGGGATACGTCTGCCCCGACAACAGGGAGAACCTAACCCTGCTGGCATCGGTGATGTCTCGATCTTTCCCGGAGACAGATGCCTCTAACTGTATCCGTAGCGACCATGGTAATGTATGCATAGCAACCAATGTACACACGTTGACTGCTTTAGGTGTAGTCAAACCAGCCTCTGGGAGTGATCCACGGGAGCATTCTATTTCCCTGAAGCGAAAAGTCGCACGAACTTGCTCACAAATGATGGGTGACGCGTGTCATTGCGTGCCATGGAATGGGAACTCGACCAGGATCTGTTTTTTGCGGTTTCGGCATAATTGATTGGTCAGCACAGTTTGTTCTTGCTATTGTCAAATTGTTCCGGAGAAATGACGCTGGCCCGCCGACAAATATAGACACCCAAGGACGTACAGTGGTCACATAATGGTCCACGTTCCTCAGTCATTGTGGTCCATTTTCAAAGCGGAATGGAACCCTTTTTCGGGACTAATCCGAGCCATTTGTGGTTCTTGGTCTTGATCGAGGGTTAAACGGATCACCGAGGGAGAAACTATGAGCATGGCAATTGTCCGTTCAACAATCCATTATTCTGCGTCGATGGAGCAGGGGTATTTTAAGCTATCATATCATCGCGAAGGCAAGTTTTAGTGTATCGATTCGTCCCCGGTCCATGGACACGTTTAAGGTCATTCTAGAGCCTTTGTTCCACAAATCTGAAATGTGATTTACGTGTAGAAAAACGGAAACCAATTAACCATTAATTTCAATGACAAGTAATGACCCAAATTCTCTGGAGAATTTACACAATAAACCCCCCCAAAAAAGAAACCAAAAAAAAAAAACAACAACAACAAAGAAAGAAACAAACGGTCAATTGAAAAAGAAAGACAAAAATCGATTTCATGAGTAGTGAACCGATGAGGCATCTTTAACTTCTGTCTTTAATCGCAAACTGGTGCCCACCGTTTTCCCGAAATCTACTTCTGCGTACTGCCCCGAAAAAAAGTTACAGAAGCCCATAACGACCACTTTTAACCACATAAACCACCGATTTCCTCCAAGAATTCCTAGACTTGGTCAAAATCCAACAAGAAACGAGACCAATGCACGCAACTCAAGCTGTCAAAATACTTTGACCACTTTGAAATCACATTTCACTTGAGAAATACCGGAAAAACTTGCAAGGCTTGATCTGGATGATAAAAGGGTTTCTTTCTTTCTTGTATCCCTTCTCTGAGGGTCCTACATAAGCGTTAGATGACTGTATGGCGGAAGCAAGTCCGAAGCCAGAAAAAAGTGCGTCTGGATCGCCGGCCCGTACTTTAATCAGTTGGAACAAAATCTTAGGGCGCGAAATCAACAGCAGAACAAGTATCGATGTATGACGAACTTCCCCGATGGTCGGAGCGTTGGCAGGCGGTGTTAATGTTATGATTATCAACAGGCCAAAATAAAGCGCGGGTGCAGAATGTAGGTTTCCGTTTCCGATGAAACGGCGGTTTGGGATTGATAGTGCTGAAACGCGCATCATGTACACACCCAACTGCTATTTTTATAGTGAACTTGAAACAAATTGTTTCGTTTCCGAGTCCAAAAAGGAACTAATTGTTGGGGGGGTTTAATGAGCAGGTAGAGCCTAATACGAAAATTGGTTTCGCTTGTATTTTTGTCTGTGGTTAGCAGTTTTTACTTGTGCACGTAACTTGTCCCGATGTCACATGCTTAACAAACAATATTAAACAGCAAAATTCAACAGCGCAAGTCAACATTATTGGGCGGAGACTCCATACTTTTCTCAACAATAGCTAGAATATTTGAAATATTTTTTCCCACAGTGACTTCCAGGATACAGGTTTTATTATTCGAAGCTGACAAACGCAAAAATGTCAACAATACCAGTAATGCACTGTCAATAAACTTGGGTGATCTGTCTCGCACGGATGATGGACCCTATTGAAAGTCACTGTATGCATTGTGCGGTGTAGCTGAGGAGCCAATCGGAGCCGCTGTGTGTCGACGGTGTGAGCACGCACGTATAAAAGCTGCGCATGACGACCATCCCGCAACCTCGACAGCTATCGACGGGACGGCCGCACATCCGCGGGACAGCCGTACTGTACAGCACTACTCATCGCTCGTCATTCCGGAATACTCTGACTTCCCCCTGGCCCTCGCGACAAATGAACATTCCTGTGGCATGTTCACTTTCTTCCTGTCAACACCTGACCAATAGCTTCCGCTGGGAAAGCGGTTTATATTCGTACGGCAGTGCGACTTCCAAAAAAAACTCCACTGCAGCCGAATTAATAGACAGTGTGGTACACGCGTGCGAGGGGAAAAGCCGTGGATTTTGTTGACTGCAAGTTCTTGAATTACTGATAGATCGTCTTCAACACCATGTCGGCTGTGGAAGTGGTGGTAACCCCAGCTCGGGGTGTCGTCCATCTGGGCCAGGATGCCTCGTTCTCCTGCTCAGCCCGGAACGTTCCGGCGGGAGACGTCCAGTTTCACTGGCAGGTTCCAGCGAAACTTCTCAACTCCGGGAGGGTGGAGGACAATGATGACATACTACGGATTGTGAACACCGCAGCGGCCGATAACAACACCGACATCAGCTGCATCGTCCTCGGCATGGATAACCAGCTGCAGGGCACCGGCATGGCTGAGTTGGTGGTCCTCCCTGCTCTACCGACCATGGAACCCTCGACTACAACCCCGCCCCCCGAAGTGACCTCCAAGGTAGGCAGTACCGTTAAACCGATTACTAAGACCGAAAAACCGACCGTGCCATCAACCGTGAAAGCCACAACAAGACGACAGACGACATCATTACCGTCAACATCTTCACTTTTGTCGACCTCGATACACACCACACCCATTCCTTCAACCGCCCAAAAGACTGCATCACTTACAGGAACTGCATTGCCGTCTCAGGTGCCAAATGATCCCCAGATAGGGCCGACTATGGACGGCCTGGGAGTTGGCATCATTGCCCCAGCCGTGGTTGGTGGTCTTGTGCTCTTCGTGAGTCTGTTAGTAACCGGCATCTTCCTCATGCGTCGCCACCGCCAAAGATCCAAAGACGCAGACGCCGAGAAGGCGGCTGCCGGACATGCTGAGACGCAGATGTACGAGATCATTCCGCCGGGCAGCCTGGACTTCCAGGACGGAGGTAATTCTGACGAAGAGAATCACAACCTGAAGCGACACGGTAACAACTTCATCAACCAGGACTCCCTGCGGACCTACTCCCGAGGCACAGCGCCCGATTCCATCACTCGCTACGCTAAGGCAGTCCCTCGCAAGGACCGCATCGTGAACGCGGGAGGTCACGGGGGCAAACCGCGTCGCTCGCCGGTCCTCACCTTGTCCATGAACAGCCTCTACGAGGAAACCACGCCGACGTTCGTGGTTGCTAACCCCGAGAACGGCCAGGTTGATGTTAAGCCGTACAAAGCCAAGGGGGAAGCGGTTGAGATTGTGGGCAGCCTGCAAGAGACTGGCCTCGAACAAAACGAAGATGAAGATCACTACGTCACACTGGCCCAAAACCCACCCCAACCACAAGACTCGGACCGCAACGAGCAAGACAAACCTTTCCAGCTAAAATAAACTTTCGTTGCTGTTTTCGCTTTGTGTACTGTGTTGTGGCATTTTCCTCAAACTTTGTTATTTTGAGAACCATCATATTATGTTACCCTTCACCACGATTTCATCAAACCTTTAAAACTCAAATAATTATAATATAAGTGCGCGTGTACTTCAACAAAGCACTGTAAGTTGCAATGTTGTTCTCTTAATGCTTGTATTTACATGACAGTAATGGGAATGTTTTCCTAAAGCCTGCGTGCTCGTTTCCTCCGGAAATTCGTCAAAATTGTCACCTTGATGTTCAAGTCCGTTAGATTGCACAGGAGGGATATGTACCTCGGAAACACACCGAGGAAACAAATCGTTTTTTGTATAATGTTTGGTCATTATTGTGGTGTGTATTATCTGTCCATTGTA